AAATGCAGAAGAAAAGAATCTGAGTTGTCAAAATGTTTAACAGAATGTGAAAGGTTTTTGCATGTATAGAATGATACCCGCTACCAGTGCAATGGAGCAACCAGATGCTTGGCCAAGAGACCTCCTGTGTTTGAAGTTGCTTAATTAAATAAAAATAAATTATACGGGAAACTTACATTTTATTATAATATGTACTATATCGATTACAAAATAGAGATAATAAAAGGAAAAGTTTAATTTGGAGGGATTTTATAGCCCAGAGTGCGTAAAGGATCACTTTGGTGTATGAGTAAACATTAATGATCATCTCCACAAAATAATAGTTATATTGTACATATATTTACAAAATTTTATAATACTATCCATAATCAAAATAACTAACAACCAATGAGTAGGCAAAACCATCATTACACAATGATTCTTTATACTTTCAACTGTAGTGAATCCCTCTTGATTTCAAATGTTTTCTCGTGAAAACTTGGACCAGAAGAAGCATAAGAAGTCATGAAATCATCACTGTTTTCAACATGAGTATTATTAGTTCCTTGTTCCTTGAACCAGAGTGCCATGGAATTACAAAAAATCTGCAATTATATCTTAAAAGCACAGATAAATATAAATCTGAAATTGAAATTTACAAAAAGAAAACTATATACTTACGTAATTGCCTTTCAACTTATGGTATGTTATAACATACAGTGTCTTCATTCTTTCAGAGTAGATATTGAATTGACCATCTTTGGTGGCTCAAGCTTTCTGGGAATTCCACTATGAAAGGAGCAACCTCAAGTTGCTGCATGTCCCATCATAAATAATAAGCTTTTATCACAGTGATCTACTGTTGCAGTTAAAACAAATACAAAAAAAAAAAAAAAAAAAAGTGAACAATAAAAAGAAGCTTGAGAGAATAAAAAATTTAGATCCAAACCTTCATCTTATCGAATGATAAATTTGCTCCAAACAATACATAAGGGTTTTATGTATTATCCAATGTTCAAAAAGTGAATGACATACCACAGGATCTAGAGCATTAGCCTCTTTAAAGTATAGAAATGTACAACCAGCATCAGATTTGATCAAACTCGTCAATCCCCTTTGTTCGTGCCCAAATCTGATCCTCAAATCCAAAAGTCCCCTTCAAATGTAAATCCTTATTGACGCAGGCTGTAGGCTTGCCAAGCATACATTGACGGAGATTTTGATGTCAACCTAGGACTTCTTAAATTTCTCGGTCCTCTTTCTTCAAGCACAAAAAAGGCATAGATGTACTCATTCTGAATAAGACTCTTAATTTAACACAAAAATGAGTTGTTATTCATGAAAGTATCATACAACACAATAGTTCATCCCAAGAATGTAGGAACCAACTAAATCAAGGAAATCAAACGAAAGTCACCAAAACTCATGACAACATGTATATATATTTCTCCAGAAAGTAATACCACCAAAATAACATTATCCCCATCCACACAGCCTAAAATATGATTTCTAAATTGTTATTCCTATTTTTAGGCAAATGATCAAGGAATCATTACCTGCACACCATTAGATGACAGCCTTCACTGTGCTGAACAAAGTGATGACATTAAGGACACCTCATCCACTTCTTTTGCTCCGCAAGAACTCAAAGATTCATTTTCGTATATTGGTTTTTCATTGTCTTCACAGCTGAACCCAGAGCGCCATGGAAACCAGCAGCTGAAGCATACCATCTTACAAATGGAACAATTGGCCTTGTCTCGCCACATTCGACCATCCTGTATGACCATATAAAAAAACCTGATCTGAGATACATAAAGGGGAAACTAATTGAGATCAAAAAATAAAATTCAACCACAAATAAGTCAATCAAAGGACCAAGAAAAAAAATGATTATACCAACGACGATGCCGCCTCAGATCATGCTTCATGGTAGAGCAAACAATACCATCATATACGGTGAAATCTGATCAAATACAGTTCATCAAGAATTGCAAATTACTATAAGTAAATAATAATATCCGATAAATTTCAGTTCGTTAAGATTTCAAAATTAAAACATCAATGAAAAAAAATCAAAACCCCAAAGACATAGAACAACAATCCCCCAGTCCTATTCCCCCTAACACATAAAAATCAAAAATCGTAAAAAGCATGAATTCCAATTATTAAAAATACATTCAGGTAAAACAAAAAACTACTTCAACGATAGTTGAAGGACAAATCATTATGTAGAGGGCATTTATGATATCAATCATGGAATCTAAAAGAGGTAAAAAAAAATGCACAATATAAAGGAAGAAACTTATGTGATTGAAGTCGAACCGGAAATCCGAATGAGGCTGCAAGAAAATAGAAATCACAAATCGAAACTCACGCCGTCTTATCCTAATCTTTGAAAAATAATCCATCGAAAATAAGGAACTCTCAATGTAGGATTGCAAATATAGGATTGCAAATTGAATGGCCATATACTCAAATCAAATGCAGAAAATAGAAAAAAAAAACAGTGGAAACCATCTAACCTTGAGAATTTTCTCGCTGTTTGATCTAATTCGTTAGTATAAGCTTCATCCAAATCATAATTCAAACATTCCAATTCCCAAGCATCATCCTCCTTCAATCATTAGAATCGTTATTTACTTTGGAATCTTCATAGATGCTGCCCGTCAACCGATTTCGAATCTGCCTTCGATGCTGCAATTTCCTTAAAAATTATGACGATGATCTGCGGTTGCAGTTAAAACAATACCAAAAAGTGAACAAAAAAGAAACTTGACGATTATACCAACGACGATCGCCTCCACTGATTTGTGGTAGAGCAAACAATACCATTCTCGATTAGGATCTTGCACTCTGTCGTCGTTTAAATCTCTCTCATGAATTGACCAAGCCGGATTTTCCTCTTAATCGAACTCTTTCTTTGCGATAAAGATTTGATCCTCTGTGTGTTTGAAATTGAAACATGGGATTGTGATTGATTCCAAAGATTAGCAAGTATTAATTTTGAGAGAAGAAGTAGCAGGAAATCAGGGATTTCATTGAAACCGGGCAATTTAATGCTTCGTTCAGAGTTGATATCTATCGAAATAAAGAGGATATAATATGTGCTTATTAGTTTATTTTTTAGAGGCACTGAATTTTAATATACTGAAATTAGGGAGAAGAAAATAAGAGATTAGTTTTTTTAGGGGGGAGATTTTGAGCATTCTGTGGCAGGAGAAGATGTCACGTGTAAACTTTTTTAGTGAAGAATTTTTTACTTTTAAGAGGGAAAACATAAAATGTAGAACTGTCGCGTGTTCTCAAGTGTTTATGTAGTAAAAGGAATTGATAAATATACTTATAAGCCTTAAACAGCTACATCTGGGGACAAGTTATCCTAACAATTACTCCCTCCATTCCAAAATAAGTATCGTCTTACACTTTACACATAATTTAAAAAACTCTTAAATCGGGTAATAAAATTACGTGAATATCCTCAACCAACCCCATTATAAAATTGTCCACCAATAGCATCAACTCTTTTGAGATTAATTTTGAAAACTTTTGACAAAAAGTATATTGAAACGTGAGAACGACACTTGTTTTAGAATTTTTCCATTTTGCTAAAACGACATTTATTTTGGAATGAAGGAAGTATTATATAGCAATGGAGGAACTGAACACCAACTAGCACATAAGCTAGAATGTAAAACGTATGGGAAAATTTTAGAATATATAGAAAATATTTATAAGAAAGATAATCTCTTTTTTTTCTTCTAAATTTATAGTAAACATTTTTAAAAAAGATTACATGTCCTTTCCTTATCTCTTTTATCTCTTTTACCCTATTAAAGCAGAATACAGGATGTTGATGTGGCAACTTCTTATTAAAAATTTTTGGCTCCAAATGCACCATATTACATTAACCATTCTGCCATATGTCATTCCTTTTTAAAAGAAAAAAAAAATTCTTATCCGGAGAAACAAAACCTACTTTACAAAAATAGCTACACAATTTTAACTCCTAACATTTATCATTTATCAATCAAATTAAAATAGCATTTAAATTTGCTCATAAACTTATCTCATTTATAACTCCACATTCTTTTGTATGATTTCTGCATCGTTGTACTTTTCAATATTTTTTCTCCTTTGACAGATAATTTTTTTATTTTTATTTTTATTTTTAGCTAAAAAAGGGAAAAAAAACCAAATGTGTAGCTATTTTATTTTTTCCAAATCAAGAATTCATTTATCTATTAACGCAAAATTAAAGTAGAGGGGCGCTCGGACATCTGCCCGGACCAAACATCTAGTAAATATTTAAAGCACGGGACAATTGCTCCTACTAGCTCCCCTGAGCTCTCTCAATTCAACCGACTCCTCGACTCTAAAAAGACTCCAGTACGCTAAATATACAAAAAAGTATGTATTTTTCAATTGCCAATCTCTACTTTCAAAGTCCCGATGGCTACATATATAGCACTTTTACACCTTTTCAAATCACTTTTTCCGTTCCATAAAATGGTTCACTGTGTTAACTATATAAATTAATTAAGATTAATGATACATACATAGAAAAAATGCCAAAGAAAAATGATAAGGTATTAATCATACACATTCATTTTTAATTCATCATAACTATTCATTTTTAACACTTTCTATTTGAGATTTAAGTATTTAAGTTTAGGACATAATTTAGATGATTGATAATTCATTTCTTGTAAGTTTTCCGTATAATTTTCCCCTGTATATATCACTACTGATTAATTAATTGGAAAGGTAGACTGTTTGGAGTGCATGGAAGGAAGGGAGTGTATTTTTTGTCATTACCTATATTAATTATTACTCAATTATGGTCAATAATTCAGTTGAACCATAAAATTACAAATAAGGAGAGATAGTGACGGGTTTGGATCATTGGTTGGAGAATAATCATATCATAGGGTATGATTACGAAGTCATCATATGATTATAGGTATTCATCATTACGATTTACGAACACATTATATTTAGAATGTTTTCGAGAAAGTAAATTGCTCGTAATTAGAGGCCATTTCATTTCGTAACAATTTAAGGGAGTAGCACTACGTACCAACAGTAAAATAAACTGTACAATATTTATTAATTTGGTTTATTTATAATTCAAATTAATTACTAAAGCATATATATGTATGCGGGAGAGTAAACTAGTTAATTAGCTACATGACAGAGCAGGCATTGACATTATCGTCGTTAAAGAGATTGCTGACTTTGTCGTCTCCCCGGTGAGTGACCGGAAGGATGCCGTGCTTGTTAGCGCCGGTGGCATCGTTGTTGTAGCCGTGCCTCCAGTAATTATAGCTCTCTTTGTACTCGCTGGTCATATCTCTGAAGTAATTGTTGGTGGATGTGTAGTACAGCGGCGGGTTCGGAAACGGCCAGAACTCCGCCCTCTTCCCGGCCCTTCTCACCGCCTTCAGCACCTTGTTCCGGTCCACGTATCCGATCACCGTTACCTTCTCCAGCGGCAGATCCACCTCCACCGAATCCACCCCTGCAATTAATTCATTTTTATTCTTTTTAATACGATATAATTTGAGGAAATAATAATTCTCATTCTGAGATAGTAAAATGAGAAGGAATAGTTAACGAAGGGTGGAGAGAGTACCTCTGAGCTTTTTGATGGCATCTTTGACAACTCTCTCGCAGCCAGCACAGCACATCCTCACTTTCAGCTCCACTGTCTACATTATTCAATCCATACGAATAATTATAATTACTTAATGTAAAGCTCCAATCAATCGCCATATCCATTCTGAAATTTAACCTTTTATCCTCACCGAGTATATTCCTCTGGCCAAGATGTTATATTAGAGTACTATTGCAAATCAGTATAACAAATAATACAATTATTTTATGAGGCGAAAGATATCATTATTCAACATTTTTCTGTCTCTCTTTGGCCTTTTGGTTTTTCGGTCTTACGAGAAAGGCCAAAAAAAAGGGGGTAATTAAAAGCAGGAAAGGGTCGCAAATCTTGATTCACTCTACAACTGTTCTATTCATTGCATCAATGTTTAGTCGGTTGAACTCCTTATCCATCTGATTCCAAAAACTGCGGAACTTAGCCATGCATGCATGTATAAACTATACGAATCCCATGCATGCATCTCTTTCGATTTCCCAACAAGTTGAAATGTTGAATGAACACTAGGTTAATAAAGTTAACTAACTAGCAAAGGTAAAAATTGAAAAGTTAACAATATTAAATTGTAAGTTATTCCTAAACTACTATGTAGGATTATAAAACAGACTAATTTTTTGAGGCAGAGGGAGATATTAATTTATAAAACCATAATTTGGTAATAGAACTCGGTTGAACTATCCAGTCCGAGCAATTCAAACATAACTTGGTTTGCATCATATACTTGACAAAATATTTGGACAATCAAAGGGTATTCATATAAGCTTAGATATTTGAACCTGCAAAGAAAGGGGACGACCCTTGGCCTTAGGCATCTTGTAAGGCTTGTGGTGATCGTGGCGGTGATAGTGGTGGCGGAGATGATGATGATGGTGGTGGTTATGGCGGTGGTGATGATCCTCTTGATGTTGGTAATGATAGTCGACAAAGAAACAATGAGCAATTGTCGAGACAACAGACCCAAATAGCCTTTGTATTAAGTTAACCATTTGGAAACAAATTAAGCTTCCCTCCTCCTTTTATACATAAACCTAAGTAGTACACGTAAAACTCTTGTAATTAAATAATATTATTATTGCTTCCTAGGTTGGCATACTTCCAAGGGAAAGACAGAGAGAGATAGACATGAGAGGGTGAAGAAAAAGATACGTTAAGGATATATGAACAAATATCTCAGTTTGTGTCTGGAGGCAGGCTATAGCTAAATCTCCTGGGGATGATCTTTCTCTTCTCCCTCAAGTAGTGAGATAATTATATTCTTCTCCCTCCCAAAATGTTCCAATCCAAAAGGCATCTCTTGCTTTCATCTCTAGTTTTATTTTAGTATTTATATAATCAAATCAATATCAATTTGCATTTAATAATACAACCCTCCAAACTCCATCAGGTGATCACATCTCAATACGCATTGTCACGAGTATTTATTCATTTATTCTCCTTCCTAAAGCAAATACGTACGTACTTATCAAAGTTATCCCACTTTACTTTTTTTTATAAATAAATAGCCAGTACCCTATACCAATTAACTTTTAAGTATAACCCTCCGGTTCTTAATATAAAGAATTTTGATTTTTCATAGGTTTCACCTACTACGCATTTTTAATTGACGAAAAAAATCTTAAAATATTTCATGACCATCAAGAGCACAAGGAATATGAAAATATATTGTTTAAAGTTTCTTTTGTCAAATAAAAAATACATATTTGGTGAAACCTATGACAAATCAAAATGACTTATATTAAGGACCGGAGGGAGTACAATATATAGCCACCGGATGAAATAATTTTTAAAAATACTTCTGCCGTCCATGAATTATATATAGCTTTTCTTTCCTTTTCCATTTAGATATTTTCAACATAAGACCAATATATACATGTTCATTCTTTGTTTCCCTCAAAATCACAATCATACCGAATTAATTATAACATAATTTTAACGCATAAATAATATTTTCTCTATCTTAAAATAATTTGTTTTGGGACGTTGAAAACAGTATTTTACATCTCTATATACACAGAAATTACGTTTTAGGAAGTATTAGAGTATAATTAGAAGACAAAGTTTAAGGAATTAAGGGGGAATGAAATGGCACCAAAAACTGCCTCCCCCAGCAGCCAGGGGCACTAGTTCGTGGGAGTGGGGTAAGGACACAAAACCAAAGCTCGAAGCCAAATTGGCTGCTGACAATGAAAAAAGAATAAAAACATTAATCATTTTCAGGGGGCTGATGGGCTTAAGGAAGTTTTAATAACACAGCAAAAAGTGGGGGCCGGCAAGAGTTTTGATGCAAAAGGAACCAAAATATTCCCCAAAATCTGTGCTAAAAAAAAAAAACAATAATTATGGATTAAATTCCTTGGACATGTAGAATTGCATGACTTAGAACCCATTCCCCCGCTGCCATAATTTAGGTGTATTGTCTACAAAAAGATATGAAATGTCACGAGGGTTTGAGAATATTCCTGTTTCCCACTTTCATCACTTCACTTGCTACTCGATTGCCTTTCAATTCCTTCTTCCACTACCATCGATTCTTATCATGCATCATGGATCCCCTAATTATTTTCCATGCCGCGTAATATACGAATGTATAACTTTTTAACGTAGTTTGTATTATATTAAGTATGTTTTCCTTAAAGTATAGTACGATCTTTTCGTTCAAAATATTTTTTATGGAATAAAAGGAAAATATGTACTGTAAATTGGCAAATAGTTTTAATATATACACTGCAATTTACAACTTATAATGTAAAAAAATTATTTTGATGAGATGGATGAATTACTTCACTCTATTGTATTGATTTATTTTTCTTCCTGTTTTCTTCGAATATGGGAAGAAATTACTACATTTTGCTGATGATCATGGGTTTAAATTAGTCTCCTTTTTCTTTTTTGTCCACGAAAAATTCTCGAGTAATTTTAACTTACTCGCAATTTGGCAGCAAGCAAATTGAAGGAAATATCTAATATGTATGTTTGTTCGTTGAAAAATAACTGTCTAATTTCATTTAATTTGTAAAAAGACAGAGAAAATATCTAATTAAGAGATAAGGGAGATTGGCGTCCGGCCACCATGGCTCGCGATTAAAAATTAACATAATATTGATATACCTACGTTCTTCTATTTCTCAAAGTTATCGGATATGAGCGATAATAGACATAATTATTCGCTTAGTTTTTTTTTTTTTTTGTATTTTCAATATATCATTTCTATTTGCTATTTTCTTTTAGTAGATTAGGTATTCGGTATTCGAGATCGTTGCCCCTATTAATTCACATTTGAGCCGGATAGATTTTTCTCTAAAACCAAATCTCTCTCAATGAATATTTAAATCATTGCTATATTTTTACATGATATTTAAGTGTACTTATGCCTCATATATATAACTGATATATCAATAAGAAGTGCATTTATATACGTTGGGTTCAGTCATATACGTACTTTGAATATATAATTTCTCCTTCCCTTTTGCCAAAATTATGCGCCTTAGCTTTTATCAGTTTTGCTGTCAAAGAAATGGAGGACAAAGGACGTTGGAATGTAAACGATCAGCCGTTGGTCATCTACAAAAGGAACGGCGAAATATCACTTAAAAATTGGCTTGCATTTTCAAGGGAATGGCTACTATCATTCGTTTGAATTATTCGCATATATATATACTAGTGATGTCTGGTCGCGCAATGCGCGACCCTGGCCCAGTCTATCTGTAGATCTTAGAAATGTTTATATTTGAAAAAAATAAAATTTTGTATTTGGAGCGATATATTTTAGAAATGTTTGAAGAATTTAGAAATGTTTTATAAGTGTGATCATAGAAATATTTGTATTTCACAAAAAAAAATAAATTGTATTTCGCCATGTATGTTTTAGAAATGTTTTATAAGTGTTACTTATTAAATATAAATAGCTTAATCGAATATATGTGTTGAAGTAAATGTTAGATAAAATATAAAAGCATCCTAATAAATTTAAATATTAGTAAGATGATTTATTGATGTTCCCCATTGGTCGTGCCAAATCAATACTTAGTTTTGGAGATTTTTAATAGCTTTGTAATAAGTTTCATCCAAAGGGTATACGCTTAAAACAAAATTGACACTTTGTAACAAAAAACCTAATTAATCAATTCAATTTAAAAAACCACTCTAGTAGAATGAAACATAAAGAAAAAATTAAAAAAAAAAAACGTGCCACGTAAAGTGCAAAGGGAGATTTAGTAATTTAGTTATGGTTAGACAAAAGGGGCAATTTAGTATTTTCTACATGCCACATGGCAATCATATGAGGTGTTTGAAAGGGAGGTTTTTGTTTCTAATATAGTAGGATATATATACATATATATATATATATATATATCTTGTCAGCAATCCAACTTCTTTAAATTATATTGCACAAACACACACATTTTTAGTTCAAATGTTATTCCATTTTCATTCGATAAAAATAGTTTGTGTGGCCGGATTAGGTAAAATATGTCTGATCGGTGCTCTTTTTTCCCCCTTTCTTTCCGGCTGGTTTTCATTTAGTTAATGGAGTGAGTATTGGAACCAGTACCACCCATTCAGCCAGAAGAAACTAATTTAATGTCTGGTTCCTGTTTTGTGCCGATAATATGCTATATGTACTTTTGTCATCATTCAGTGTATATTGTGGCAAATACTTTCAGGTGTTTACTGAAATGGACATAAAGGACATTCTATTTCTCCAAATGGAAAATCCCCATTCAGTTCCAAAACCCATAGTTTGATAGCATCCGCATTTGAGGATAAAGCGTTAAGCGGTTAATTTATTACTCCCACGTGTCCTTATTATAAGACATTTTGATTTGTCCTAAATTTCATCTGGGGTGTCTTTTTAATTGAAATAAAAACTTTAAAAATATTTTCTAATAATTAGGAGAACACGTCGAATGTGAAAATATATTTTTAAGATTTTTTTTTATTAAAAATGCATTTGATGTGAAATTTAAGACAAAATCAAAATATTTTATAATAAAGACAGAAGGGAGAAGCGTATGAAAGTAGTTGGTTTATGATTTTTCCCCTCATATATTAACATTACTACACTAATTGATACCAAAAATTTATTAAGTTCTAATGGTAAAAGTACTGCATTAGTTTAATCATGACTTGCAGATAAGGCGTTAACATTGGCATACAATTTTACTCGTCTAATGAAAGTCAGACGTCGGACATAATATAAATATATATATATATATATATATATATATATATATATATATTTCTACTGCTCACACTAACCGCGTATGACGGAGCTAAGTTTTTCTTCTTTGAATCGAAGATATAGTAATTTTTATTTTTTTTTTGATTTTTCAGTCTAAGCAAATCCTACTTGGCTAAATAATAATCGAGCCTGGACAGATACTCCGATCATATTTTGGTGTCAATCTTTGCAGAAACTCATCTAACATCCGTAAACGGTCAAGATTATGGATTGCTAAAACTACTAAGAAATCCGCGATAAAGTTTTTCTCACAATACATACATGTCATTTTCTCTGTAAAACATCCCAAATCATCTTCATCAAGTCACTGTGTATCCTAATCGGATCATCTTTGAAGACACCATTTCTCTCTTTTGTTTTTTTCTTTCAACCTGGATTACCTCTTTAGTCGATATGTATTTTAAATTATCCAAGTATTTTTTATTTTTGTAAAATTTCATTTTTTAAAAAAAGAAAAATATTGGGGAAGCTTCAAGTTTATGTTACATTTCAACACTGTTTAGTGTTTAGTGTCAGGTTATAAGGCCTATCAAAGAATAAAAATTTCAATTTTTTAGTTGACGAAATTGACAAAACATGCATATCTAGGGTGAACACAACTCTAATTCAGCTAAAAAAAAGTCATGATGTCTAATAAACGCGATTTCAACTGGCCGTTATCGATTTAGAAGACTTCTAAATTCTAAATCTACAAAAAAAAAAAAAAAAAAAACACGCTGTCTATGATCACAGAATAATACTCCTATGTTGGAATTGGATTCTTTTTTTTTTTTTTTTAAATATCATTAATCTTAAACCAGATGATCAAGGAAAAAGTTAACCAAAGGGGAAAAAAAAACGGACAGAGAAAAGTAATACTCTGTCTCAAAAAAATAGTTCACATTAAATTTTCAAATTTGTACTAAAAATAGTACAAAACTTAAACTCAATGTGGACTATTTTTTGTGACGGATGGAGTAAAACCAGATGATCAAATCATCAAATGTAAGTTGGTCAATCTCAAAATGCTGGGAAAAAAATCAAGAAGGCCCATGAACCAAAAGGTGCCGCAGTCTAATGACGTCCATGTATACGAAAAGAATGCAGCAGAAGGAAATGAGATAATATGATGTATACAAACATTTAGCCCAACAACGGATACACAGATAAATTGGTCATTACGTACGTTAGGCCCAAAATGGGGATCAAACTTGGAAAGTTAGAAGTTGGACAGTCGGAGATAAAAACAAACTGTGTATTACGTCACCAATATTTGTTTGACCAAAGTAGTAAGGTGTTTTGGTTTTCTTAAGCGAAGTTTTGGGTTCGAATCTCATAAATGGAAAGAATAATATTGGAAGAGATTTTCTTCTCGGGTTCTAGTCTCGTAAATAGAAAAAGCAATGTTGAGAGAGCTTTCCTTCCGAAAAGAGACCGACCCGACTCGGTACGGATTAATAGTACAAAGCACTCAGGACACTAGTGCATAGTATGATAAAAAAAGTGTATTACGTTCACAAGATACCAAAAAACACAACCACTTGAAAAATGGCAGCTAGTACACTCTGATAATCAGTGATAAACAAAAAAGAACAAATCCGAACTAAGATCCAACCAGAAAAAGGAACAACTACACCTCAACATTATTATTGTTCCTACTCTACAATGTACATATATCTCTTCTCCTATAATAATTAACAACCAAAAGAAATTAAATTAAAATAAAAGAAAAAAGAAAACAACACAAAATTGAAGTATTAGATGCGCAACGTTGGCGGCGGCGGCGGCGGTGAACGGGAGCGATGCGGATGAGGAACGGCGGAGACAAGGCGGCGAGATGTGGAATTAGGAGAAGCGTAGGAGAGATTCCGGAGGATCAAGGTGCGGAGGCGTCTGGGAAAAGGAGCGGTATGGAAGACATGTTCCAGCACTCGGGTCACCCTTACGGTGTATTCCTCCAACAGTTGTGCCATTATTGCCACCTGTATCATCTTTCCTGATTCCTTCCGATCAGTCCAAACTCCGGATTGGCGGCGTCTCAGTTTCCTGATGGCTTTCTGATCACTATTTCTATCAAATCGGTCTAATTAAAAACCCTCTCAAAGGTTTCCCGCAGGCTTTTGAGATATATAAATATAGTAGTAATATCTTTATCTACAAAAATAAGATCTACGTCGATCCAAAATGAAAGTAATTTGGATATGGTTGCTATCTTTTGCTGGTTGGACTAAATACAGTGGTACTACTAGACTTCACTAGTAGTATTTAAACCCATCGGGGAGTAGATTAATAACAACATCGTTAAAGATTTTTTCTATGATATTTTTGTGTCACTTTGTATGCGATAATATTTATTATTATCAAAATAGTTACTAATTGATCTCTCTTTTTTAATTTAATCTTGTGTATTATACATATAATAAATATTAATACTAGTATTAAATTGGAAAATTTTATTTGTTTATCACAAAATGTTATACAAAAAAATATAATCTGGAAGACTTGGAGTAGTTGACAAATTTGATAGTTGAAATTGAATAGGTGAAAAAAACAGGAGTGCCGAAACCATAAAAGTATTGCGGCTGAACCAGGAATCATCTTCGTTCTTATCCCTTGGGCTTGGGAGTTAGGGAGTAGTACAACTACAAATTAGTGGTATTTAATTATCATATATTTATATTGTTTTTTTATTTGGTTTTATGGCCTAGTCATCAGTATCTGGAAGTGTCTGAAAAGATAATGTGATACTTTTATCTTTGTGGGGGCCCTTTCACCTCCTCCATGGCTATCCTTAATGCATAAAGCATTTTAATTTATCCTAAATTTAATATAGTCCATATTTTTAATCGATCAAAAAAATTTAAAAAATATTTCATAACAATCAAAAGCACAAAATGAATGGGAAAATATTTTTTAAATTTTCTTTTTTGTCAATTAAAAATGTACACTATGCGAAACATAAGAAATATCAAAATACCTTATATTCCCTCCCGTCCTTATTATTATTATTATGTATAAGACTAATCTAAATTTTTTAGTAAGTTATTTCAATTAAAAATTAAACATTGAAATTATTTTATAGATGTAAAAATATATTTTAAAATTTTATTTTTAATTAAAAAACATAATAAATAAAATTCAATATAAATTAAAATATCATAATAAGTTCGGGAGGGAATATTTAGTTATGAAAAAAAAAGAAAAGAAAATAAAGAGTCTATTGAGTAATTAGTGTACCATCAGATATTGGAACCGGAATACCGGCTATTCCAATCAAAACAACAACCGGGGTTTCGAAACTAGAGCACCAATTACAGCGGCGCCGGCTGAATCCAAAGGAATTAATATAGTACTATAAATAAATAAAAGAAAATGAATAAGTAGCTGGAAATAGCGACAGTGCAGTATTTATTTCCTCTTTTTCTGTTAACAGACGCCATTTTCTGTTCAATTGTAAAACTGTTTTACGTACAGATTCTGCGAATATAACATTCGCCCATCGCTTTTGGTCCATAAATATACACTTCCTGCCATTTTCATTGTCCACTCTGTATTACTACTACCCTAGTCTAGTTTGATAAAAACAAACCACAAGTGTCAAAAATAATTATCGAACAATAATAAATCATTTTAAAATAAAGGAAAAACTAAGCAACATAGGTTTAAGGATTTAGGCGGATTTGTCGGGAAAAATTAAGGTGGAATTGTCACTTTGTTGTAACAAGACTACCAATACCAATGGGCTAGCTCAAAAGAAGGGGAAAATGAAGAAGAAAAACAAAGGAGATGCATGTTATAAATCAGAAAACCGCCCCCAAAATTGTCATTAAAATGGTAAATTAGCGTGATTATGTAAGTATCAAATTTTTTATGACCCAAAAAGGTGGGTGTCCCCAAAATAGATTCTAAATTAAAACTTCTATGTATTTGCATTTAAAAAGAAAAAACTTTTTACGTAATTTCGACCAAATCTACACTACAAAATGAATAAGAGTGACATGCCCTGTTTGATAAATTCATTCAGCACTTAAACTTAATTGATTAAGTGTTTAATTGATTGACACTGTTTGATAACACAATCTTGTAACAACTTAACTGATTAAGAACTTAACTAATTAAGGACTTAAATTTTAAGTGCGGTTGATAACTCAAAGTAGGATATCTTAATAAATTAAGTGCGTCTGAAATGCTAGTACAAATGTTTGTCTAAAAATAAATGATAGTCCTATCACTTATTTCTGTATTGAATTCTTGAAACTATTATTTTCCCTATTTATTTACTTTTATGTTTATACTTTTGATATTTTATATCGAAATATTTTTGTTAATTTTGATGTTTAGTTATAAATTAAAATTTATATAAATTATTTTTTTATTTAATAAATATTTATTTTTAATAAAAATAATTAAAATACGTCAAAAGTCCATGATACAAATATATATTACCATAAAGATATGATTTTTTTTTCTTGATAATGATAAGACATGATATTATTATTAACTAAAAAAATAATTCCATAATAAAATTTATATAGTTCTATTGCATGATTTTATGGTAATACTGTTATTTTTATTATCATATTTTCACATACATCAAATTTTTTTGGATAAAATTAATAAATCAAGATATTTTAAATTTCAGTGTTCAGACTTCAGACCCAAATTAAGTTTTATCAAACGGAGCCTAAGAGCCAAATGATGAGGCCACCTAAACGCACTAATAATAACTCTAATGAATAATGAAAACTAATGATAATGGGTAGATTAGTACATGACTAACCTTGGGGGATCAATACATGACTAATTGTGATACTAATGATGATATTAGACGGTCATATTAGGACATTTCCAAGGACCAAAGTAACCTACCAACAACACTAATACAACATACAACATTGCTACAACGTGAACACTAGAAAACTTGAAGCAACGGGAACCTGACCATGCCCTCAATCTCACCCCAGCTGACCTCATTTTGCGACTATCTTTCTCATTCTCCTCACCCTCTTCGTCTCTTTTGTTGCTGCTTATTCTGCTTTGTACCTCTGGCTCAGACTCACCATATTCACATGAGGCTCTGAATACTTCCTCATCAACCTGCATACCGCACATATCAGTACTCACATTGCCTAATTATGTAAAAAAAATCTGAAGTTAAAGATTAAAAGACATTACAAGTGGAATCATTTCAAATGTTTTACATTATTTTTGGGTTTCACCTAAATTTTCATTTTTTATTTTATGTTTTTCAGAGTTTCACTCCAGGTGTCAAGCAGTAAATATCTCACCTCGGTAATAATTGAGTATTCTTGTTCTCCATCGCTAGAACTGCTTCGATCATCATCTGATTTCTCACCAGTTGTGGAACTTAGAACTGAATCCATCTGCAACCGCATTCGCCTTGCAGCAGTGCCTTGTGCAGCTAGCTTCTCCGAACCAGATGGCCTAAGTTGTGAAGGGCGTTTATGAATTTTTATCCCAGGAGTTTCTGTAGCACCGAGCGATTGTTCACCATCGCACATAGGCTGCTCCATCATGTTATTAGCGAATGACACAGCTCTATCAGAATAATGACCACCATCAACTGGTTTGATTTCCATTGTGGAACCATCATCAAAAGCTGGAAATGCTTGAACCTGTAAAGATCCCGACAAAGGATTATAACAGTTGAGATAGTGAAAGCAACATATGTTCATAAAGAGAAAACATTTCCTGATCAGCAAAAGCTGAATCCAAGTTAAATATTTGTACATAATCGGAAGCAACAATTATAGCCATTTCTATGTTCAGATTGTCATTATCCATGATCAGCGGAGAGCCCAGACCTTGGGGTAAAAGAAAACATGGATGAACAGCTTAGCAGGAGAGCAAACCAGGGGAGGGGAAAAAAAAAAAAAGAAGAAAAGAAAAAGAACAACAACAAAATTAGCAGCTGATGACCCCAAAAAAAAAAGGGAAAAAAAAGGAAGGCTAGACTGAGAATTACATGATCTTGGAACATATAGTTGTCCCTTTTGCTGCCCAATGATTCACGACCAAGGTCTCTGGAAGTGCCATCTTGAAGGACACCTGCTAATAGTTCGGTTAGAGAAACATCATGCTCGGAAGTGCCATCTTGGAAGTGCATCCCATCATCATCCTGGTTGCGACCAAAATCATCAGCAAAAGGTGAATCGAGACAGCTAATGTCAGTGTATTTATGCGATGACATCCAAGGAAAGAAACTGTTGCTGCTGCCATCAAGATTATTATCTGTAGAAGTCTTCTGCGACCAAGAAGAATGATCTCCTAATGGTGGATGATACACCTGAATAGTCAAACCAGGAAACAAGAAAATGATCACAAATTAAAACCCTTCGGATCATCACTTGAACTATATAGGAAGACAATTTCTTTAACCTTTTCACTAGGGACTGCTTCCCTTGAGATGTCTTCAGCACCTGAAGATGTACAGGGGTCAACATGTTGGAGAAGATTATTAGAGGGTGTCATATTATCTGATTTATCAATCAGTAACCCTTTAATCCCTTCTTGCTGTCGACTATAACCATCTTGCATATCCAGCATTGACGACGACGCGTCTTGACACAACAAATCTGATGATGCGTCATCAGGTGACGATCTGACCGTATTAGGAGAAGACCCGCTTGGATTATTTACTTCCTCAAATTTAGAATTGTCAGTTTTCTCATCAGGCTTGTGAAATAACCGACAGAGGACATACGCAGCCTGTACAATTTAACAGAACAAGGTGGTAGTAAGATACACCACTAACCAAGAAACCAATAAGGCAAAAGACTTAACATCTAGAGACGAGAAAGAAAGTCCACAATCAAATCATCAAGGATTCCATCCAAAAGGAAGCTCCTAATTCCAGATACAGGCTAAAAAAGTGCACAAAAAATGATGTACTTGTCTTGTCCACAGAATTTATGCACGTCCAGAATAAAACAATTAAGTGTTGAATGGCATACAAGCTTAACTGCTGATACTAACCAGAGGAAAGAATAGTGACTCGTCTTAGGTTCCTCCATTCTCGATTCAATATTTCATTAATCAGTTAACGGATCACAAAATCCTATTTATGACAAATGGACAGCAGTATCACATAAAAGAGAGCTAGGGCACTAGAAAAATCGCCCAAGACAAAGCAAAGAATCAACCTGACCAGAGGCGGTTCCATCAAGGTCAGGCTCAGTAGCACGGTATTCATGCATGATCCAGTTGGTACGCTCGCCCTTGGGAGCACGGCCCCGGTAGAACACCAAGGTCTTCTTCATGCCAATTATATGGGCTTTAGAGGAACCAGCAGCAGTTGAAGATGATTTGTAAGACTTGATTGTGCGATCCTTGCCAGTCGCCTTCCAATAGCCGGCATCAGTGGCCCTATTGGAGCGATGTCCATTTGGATACTTCCTATCCCGAGGACAAAAGAAGAACCACTCTGGATCATCCGTTTTTATAATTGAAAGGTCTGCAGAAAGAAGAAAACAACCACCATTGCCATCACACGGGAAAGCTCAAGAAAAAGGAATGACAAGGAAATTGTCAACTATAAGCAAAAAGAGTCACCATTTTCATCAAATAAAATTGTCATTACTCCTAAGAAGTTTGCATCAAGAAACAGACCAAGCCCATTTTAGCAAACCTATATAAAATGAAAAAGAAATTTTGCAACTGGAGAAGAGTGGGGAAGAGATGGAAACTTGAAATGAAAGTCTAATACTTGGAGGTTTTATATCAAGTGTCTGCTTTTACCCAAAAAAAATATCAAAAGAAGAAAAAAGAATGCATCTTGATTAAGAAAGAGATAGATGATGTAATAATGATGAAAAAAGAGAACATCCGAAATTCCCACATACCCAGTTCCCAAATTCCTCTCCTTTTCTATTTTTTTCTGATTCCTTTTAATATTGTGATCGATGGTGCCGATCAATTTATATATACATATACATGCATAGCAGCAAATATCATATTTACAACAGCCGTACAGCTGCAGAATCAGATGGTATATTTTTAGTGGGAATACTTAAAAAAAAAAAAAAAACGAAAGTGAAAAGAAGAAGATACGAAGCCAAAACAGGGAAGAATGAAAAGAATCAGAAAGAAAGTAAAAAGAAAGAAAGAATCAGAGAACACGAACCAGGTAAATCCCAGGGTTCCCACTTGCAAACGTCAATTTCAGGGATGACAGAAACGTCGGAATGACGGCCGTTGATTTTAAGCCTGAGGTAATGACTGATCAGCTCCTCGTCCGTCGGCCGGAACCTAAACCCCACCGGCAATGATGACTTGGAAACAACTGCTCCCATTTCACCCTTTTCTCCAATTGAATTCTCCTCTCCAATCCTATGATTCTCGCCCTCCATTTTTCTGTAATCTTATAGGGTGATAACCCTTTTCAGTTTTCTCTCCTCTTTGCTTCCTTGTGGTAACAGTAGTAGCAGAAAACCCAGACTTACAAGTGTGAAAGAGCAGCAGCCACAGCAGCAAACAGCTACTTTACTCTTTTGTTTTTTTCCCCCTTTTTAAACCTTATTAAATAAAAATAAAAACTCCACGAAAAATAATTAGCGGAAGAGTTTAACGTAAGAGTTGCAACTTGCAACTTGCAACTTACAACTTACACCAAGCAGGGAGGAGATTTGGGAAAGCAACAAAGTGGGAAGTCAATAAGAATAGTAATAAATCCAAAATCTTGAGTATAAATTGGTGTGAGCGTACTCTTGTACCTGTACATTTATTTTTAAAGCCAGCTTAGCAGCAATGAATGGTTCATTGCACTGCTTACTACTACTCCATTTTCCCAGATTTCCCCTTGTCCTTCCCTACTTTTCTGCTTTATTTTATTGTTCCCTTTTGGACTCCATACACTATTACAGCACACTCAAAAAGAGATAAAACCAAAGTCAATCAGTAATTAATGGGCTGTCTTCTTATCAAACGTGTGGATTAATCATGCCCAGTTAAAAGTTAAAACAATTTCTTCATTTTGGAAAAAAAATGGTCTGTGCCAGTTAGTTTGTTAGTGTCAATTAGACATGGGATGAATTGTTGAAGTTGATGCTTTTTTTCTTATTGAACAAATGGACCATGGCAGTATAAAGTTTTACTCCCTCCATCCCTAATGTCAGGATTTCTCTTTTTTTGGTTATGTAGATATCCTCTTACTTTTTAGTGGCATGGCTCATTGAAGTATCCTATAGCAATTTTTGTATAATGCTTGAACAAATTGACCCCTATTCATGATTAGTTTGTTGCACTAAATAAAGTCAGCTTCACCTTTTCTCATGGAAAAGTTGTATAATTCAAATGATGATGTAAAACATGCTCAAAATGAGCATCGCGTTCTACTACATTACCACCGTTGACATCACCACATCAACCAAACAATCCATCATTCAACCAAGACAAGACAATGTATCAAGGCCAGCTATTACGAATACACAAGAAAAAGAATTGAAAGTATTATATTTGAAGATCGTCTATAGGTTCTATTTACTTCAGCAACTATTTTCTCTGATAACTTGGCTAGTTATCAACAATGAGCCCAATCCAATCGTGCAATGAGAGAAGCAGTTGATCATGTCCAATTTCTTCTTATCACATCTGCCATGTTCAGAAGAAATGGACCTCAGTCTGCTGCATTGCTTCCAGCATATCTCCACCGAATCAATGGCCGTGTAGAAAAATAAAAAATTATAAGATTCTGTTATGTACAAGTACGGGTCCGTGTCTATCTACAGCGCAGGATGATATCCAAGGCTGGCATTTGCTTCGACCTGGTGCACTACTCTCCTTAAACTCCATTCATGGCAGAACTCGAGGCCAAGGCGAAGTGCTGTTCCAAGGCCCAAAACCACAATTACTCCTGCAGTATGGTATTGATTGCCGCATGAAAATGTCAATACAAACACAAAACTCGGATGAAATTCTGTTTTATAATTACGTCAAAGTGTACTTCTCTTACCAATAATAATATTTACAGGTATAGCAGAAACCCCGAGGGTGATTGATATAAGCACATCCAGTAGAAGACCACCAATAAGGATTGAGAACGCTACCCAAAGGGGACTTAAACAACCCTATACCGTAGTTGCAAATTAAGGTCACATATAAAGACATGTCCAGGTGTTGAATGTCTTAAAAAAAGAGTCTAACTTTCTAACACTCACCCTGTCACGCCTTGGGATCATGCCTCTTCCCCCATAAGCAGGATCCAATCTCCAAACCCAGTAACTAGCCTGTTGTACAAAAAAAAAATTCCATCATGCCGGGTCAAGGACACTGCTACTAACTTGATGTATATTTTGGTGGTAATAAAGTTCCAAATGAATCTATCATCCCACGACCTTATGCTATCTTAACCATGTTTTGCAATGGTGCAGTAGTTAAGAGTAAGAATCCATAATGTAAGTAATTCTTAAAGTCGAGAGTAGCAGGCATGAAGCTTCAATTTGGAGGTCCAATTTCATAAGCCAGGGGCAAAATCCAAAGAGGTCCACATATTGAAGGTTCAAAAGTACTACACAGATTCAGATAAATTACTTTATCTCATTTCTTAAGTCATAAAAACTGATTTACAGGATAAGCACCTAAAAGTCATGCAAGAAGGAAAAGGAAAGATTACGAGAGCCTATTAGTAGCGCATTGGCTTAGGCTTATGAGTAATGCTACCATAGAGAACTAAAGGCACGGTTTGTTACATGCATCACAACATATTGCAGAGAAAAGGATAACAAAAGTGATGTATACTAGTACTAGAACTCGAAGAGACAATATTTAAAGGCCTAAGAAGTCCTCCTAATCTACTACTTCAAACCTAGTTCCCGATAAAAAAGCACAGCTAGAACACGTCATTATGTAGAAACACGTTGAAAGCTGCACTTGCCTGGGACTCTGGGAGAGTAATATTTGCTGCTGCCTGCCTGGAAATTAAAAAATGGCCAGAAAAAGACCATTACTCTATATTCACACCGAATCCAAGAGACCTGAAATTTGAAAAAATGAAAAAAAACCCCTTAACACGACTCACTGGCATATCTCGCATTTGTTGGAACCCCTAGTGCCAAACCAGGTGGTTATACAAGATTGATGAGCTTTAGAAAGCCCGCCTCGACAATGACATCCCAACTCCATCAAAGCTTCATCTTTTTCCTGCTGACATACCCTGCAGTTTGACAACAAACACCACGGCATCAATAGTAGTCCAAACGAAATCTATAATCCTCATCATCCAAAGGCAATGGATTGACAGGACATTTCAAAAAACCTAATTTACCGGCATTCATCACGAGAAGAACTAGAACTCCTGGACAAGTCAGCAGCAGGCTTCTTGGGAGACTGGGACGCAACTTGGGGGCACTGCTGACCTACTTCCACCGGAGCCGAGGATTTTGGGGCAGACACATCGTGATTATGATCGTCAGAGATGACGATGCTCTGCAAGGAATTATTCCCAGCATCATCAACATCGTTGTTGGGTGGAGAGTGGCTGCAGTTTGTATCCTCCAAATTAGGTTGCTGCTTTTCCAAATCAATATATGAATCGCCAGGATCGTCAACAACTAAACTCTCCTTAGCTGACATTCCTCAATGATAGAAGCTAATTTCGAACTACTAGTTTAATTGACAGAGGAGTAAAAAATGGACATCTTTTGGGGCAAAAAAGAATCTTTTTTCTTTCCACTTAGCCAAAAGAAGAGCAAAATGAAGAGAGCCCGATTCTGAAGTTACAATTTCTGATGAAACCCAGCAGCGGATTTATCTGCAAACGTGATTTAATCGATACAATCAGAAAATCATAATGGACAGACAACCGTCCCCTCCCCGGAAAACTTAAGAATAATAGAGAGCGAGAGAGAAATGAAAAGCAGACTCTAAATTCATATCGAATTTTGAAGTTAGTTGAGAAAGACAGAGAGATCTTACCGAAACCGATTGCTGGAAGGAATTTGAAGAAGATTTATTGAAAAAAGAAACCAACCACACACACAACAAAGTGCAGCTGATTGATGTCGACTGTTCTTGTTCTTCAACTTTCAGTTCAGCCGATTTTGTGTTTCATTTTGCTTCCTTTTTTTGTACGGGACGGAAAAAAATGGATATTATTATATTCGTGTTCGGGAGTAATGTGAAGTGAATACCATTTTCCAGTTCAGCCACTTCGCGCTTATCCATTCTTTTTTCATTTACAGAAAGAAAATATTGAAAATCATTTTATCCAATGTCGATTTTACAGTACTACAAAGTTTTGATTCTTCACATTTAGTATGAAAAATTATTTTGCTCTTTCAGACAAAACCAATTTTTATTTTTTGAATATTTATCTTTGTTGTTGACTTGTTGTAGATCTTATCTTACTCAGTTTTTTGTTTTTTATAAAGTTTTGAATATCTTGTTGTTGATTGTGTACTTGGCAATATTTATTATTTATTTAATCATTAAAATCAGACATTTTAATTTTTTTGTTTGTGTCTTCTAAGATGATCTCATAATAATAATCATCATCTTAGGGCAACTGATGAAATTGTGCAGATTACTTTCCCTAATATACGCATAATTTATTGATTCGTGAATGAACGTTGTGGAATGCAAAAAACATCAATAATTCGGTACCATTCTATTAGGCCTAATACCCATTTTGATAACACGCATTTAGGCCCATACTATAGGAGCTCACAGAAAAAGCCCATGTTAATCCGACTCAGCGTTTAATCTACGGTACTATCAAAGGACAAATAGACAGAGGGGATACAAACTTTCCCATTTTTTCCTTTTTACCCTATTTCTCTCTCTCTCCCCCCTCTCTCGACCCCACACCTCCCCATCACCAACACCTCCAAAGTACATATTACAAACGAATCACCGAGTTTGTGGGCGGTGCGTTCTCTCCACGCGACCAACTCAGCGCCGGAGTAAAGTATATCCTCCATCGTGCGACCGTCTCGGTTAGTGGCGGAAGATCGACGGTTTCACTGTTTCTTATTCGGAGGTACGATAGCATCATCGGAACCCTAGCCATTGCCCGTTCTTTAAGTTTATTTGTTTGTTTCTGGCGGAGTTCAATTCAACTTGTTTCTATTTCATGCTAGTGAAGTTTGGGGTAATTTTTATTGATTTTTAAGAGGCTTCGCGGTTATCTCGCTTGTATTCATCAATTGTTGAAGCGTTCCTCTGTTTTAATTAACCACATTCGGTTTCTGTTACATTTTTAAGGACTACTGGCGCAATTAGGTTTATTCGTTTATTTTCCTCTTTTCTTTTTTGCAGGTCTCCGGTTTTTCTTCTTGAAGTTTAACTTGAAGATTATCTAGTGGGAAGAGGATGTTTGGATCAAGCCGTAAGCATCTTTATGTTTCCTGCAGTTCCTTATATTTGGTGCATTAGTGATGCTGCCTTTTTCTCTAATTTAGTTATTACTCAACTAAGTTATAGTATATGGTGTTACATTTTTTCAAAAAAAGGGTCAGTTGGTGTCTCTTTTTTGGCTTTAGTTATCTAAGTTTGTGTTAAGTTTCACGTTGTATGTTGGTTTTCTTATTTTCAGTAAAAATCTTTCTTCGAATTTTGGTTGAACACTAATTTCTATTCAGTCTCTTGAATGTCATTTGTTTATTGTTAGCAATTTTTTATTTCTAAGGTTTAGATTTGTTGCCATTGAGTTTTTCTAACTTGTGAAACCCCTGGTAACACAAACCTACTTTAAAATGTGCTGGCGTTGAAAATCTGTCATTGTTTGCTTGGTAACTTTAAAGGATGCTTGATTTTCCAGTTTCTAATTTGAGCATTTTACTCCTTTATGTGTCATATCCCTGACCTATTTAGAAATTGAAAGTGTAGTTGCCTTACCTTTTCAAATACACTAATTTTTTCTTTTCGCTTATCAGCTTTTGGGCAGACTACGAGTAGCCCATTTGGGTCACAGAATGTTTTTGGGCAGAACACAAATGTCGGCAACAACCCTTTTGCCCCTAAACCCTTTGGGACTGCAACTCCTTTTGGGGCGCAAAGTGGGAGTTCTCTCTTCAATAGCACTTCTACCGGTGTGTTTGGGAGCCAGAATTCTTCTCCTATGGGGTCAACATCTGTCTTTGGTGCTTCATCGTCTCCTGCTTTTGGAAGTTCGACGCCTGCTTTTGGAGCTTCATCTACTCCTAGTTCATCAGCATTTGGAAGTATGTGTATTATTTGTTTTGAATCCAGAAAAATCTGGTTTCCCCCTTCCCTGATGGCCTGATATAATTTTCTTAATCATTTTAAGGACTTTTTTTTCATTTATTTTAATCTTTGTGGTCAAATTTATTATTTGTAGATAAGGTTGCATTGCATTAATTTAGATGACTAGTGATGCCTGTTTTGCTTACTAATATTTGTTTGCCGTTTGTTGTCATGGGGGAGTTGAGACTTGAGTGGAAACGGATTGAAGTTTACTTAATATAATAATAAATTGATGGGCCCTACTTTATTGGCTGCTGAAGAGGAGTGGTTTGGTATGAAGAGATCACATGAGACCATTGGTTTTAGGCAAGATGAAAAATTTTCTTCTCAGACCCCATGCGCCAAGAAAGCCTTATATGACCGAGTTTATATTTATGTGATTTTTCTTTTTGAAACTTTCCCCTCATAAGGAACCTCACACGAGGTGAACTCAATGGAGTAATAGAGTACTGGCAATAGAGAATAAATGTATATATTTCTGAATCTGAAATCGGATATCCATAGGTGTGTGTTTTCCCTTTGTTTTATCATGAAAGGTTTCTATTCAGACTCCACTTTTGTTAAAAGATATTTTTATCTTAGAAGATGAAACTTAAAAAGCAGTTTGTTAATTGTTGTAAATCAATAAGCAGGTACATCCATGTTTGGACAGAAGCCTACTTTTGGTGGCTTTGGAGCGAGTACTGCTCAAACAGGTTCATTTGGAAGCTCATTTCAACAAACACAACCAGCTTTTGGAAATAGCCCATTTGGTTCTTCTACACCTTTCGGCTCAGGAACTCAACCTTCATTTGGCACTCCAAGCACACCTACGTTTGGTTCCTCACCTGCATTCGGTGCAACCGCACCGACTTTTGGTACCACTAGCACACAGGCATTTGGTGCCACTACACCAGCCTTTGGTTCCACTGTGAACCCAACATTTGGTACCACCACTGGTGCCTTTGGTGTTTCTAGTTCTCCCGCTTTTGGGTCTACTACGTCGTCATTTGGTGCTCCGACAACTTCAGCATTTGGTGTCGCCACAAGCGCACCGGCATTTGGAGCCACCCCAAGCACTCCTGCTTTTGGTGCTTCGAGCTCGGCTTTCAGTTTTACTAATTCATCTCCGTCTTTTGGGCAGCCTGCAGCTTCACCTTTTGGGCAGCCTGCAGCCTCACCTTTTGGGCAGCCTGCAGCTTCATCTCCGTCTTTTGGACAATCAACCTCACCCTTTACAAGTTCTCCATTTGGTAAGCAAGACAGCAAGATAATAATGTCGTAGGTGGCTGGATCGGGTTAGATCCAGTTCGAGAATCCCAGCTTATTCTTTTTTGCTTCTGATTCTGTTTCTGCAATATTTGTGGTGTAGGATCCCAGGCAACCGCTCCACCTTTTGGGGGCACAGGTTTTGGTCAATCAACCTTTGGAACTCAGCAGGGAGGGAGTAGGGCAGTTCCTTATTCTGCAACACCTGAGGACGGGTCAGCAGGTGCAAAGCTTGAGTCCATATCAGCCATGCAGGCTTACAAGGAGAAGAGCCATGAGGAGCTTCGGTGGGAGGACTATCAGAGAGGAGATAAAGGTATTACCGCCTTGCACATGAAAATATAAACCATAAACCTATACGTTTGGTTTGCTGATGCAGTTGTATTTTTGTGCGATCTAGGTGGACCTGCTCCTGCTGCTCAGTCAACTCCTGGACTGAATTTTGGTTCTCCTGGATTTGGAACCGCCACGACTACTGCATTTGGACAAACAACACCTAGCAATCCCTTTTCAACGACGACACAATCCAATCCTTTTGCACCAAAACCCTCCTCTTTTACGAGCCCCGGATTCGGAACTTCATCCTCTGCTTTTGGTTCTTCACCGTTTGGAACTTCAACAACTACAGCTAACCCCTTTAGTTCAACACAAACGACTCCGTCTTTGTTCACTTCTAGTCCATCATTTGGACCAAGTGTTTCCCCCTCACCTTTTAGCTCTTCAACTTCCAGTTTTGGGACATCGACTTCTCTTTTTGGTGGTTCTTCGGCGCAAACGAATCAGGGCTCATCTGGCTCTCTTTTTGGCAACACTCAATCGCCCTCGTTATTTCAATCAACCACTCCTTCGCTGGGTCAAACAAACTCTCCTTTTGGGCAGAGTACTACTCCCTTTGGACAAAGTACACCAAGTTTTACTCAACCAAGTCTGTTCAATCCTCCGTCTTCTGGTTTTGGTGCGAATACTTTTTCAAGTACTCCTTCGCTGCTTACAAACAATTCTGGATTTGGACAGGGAACTGTAAGTGAATTGAGCTGTTTCTCATGTGAACTATAATTACACTGGACGCCTCTTTTGCGTTCCAAAACATTTGTTTGGCTTGTTTGGTTAGTGATAGTTTGTTGGAGGCATTTAATTGCATCTGCATGATATTATATTTTGTTTTCTTGTGTACCCATTTATTCATTGCTGTGGCTAGTCATATTTTCCTGTGAGAAAGCAATGTTAGAAACCACATTTCAAGTCTTTGAGTGGGAGCTCTCCTACTTTTCCCCTGTTCTCTATTTTTCTTCACAATGATCTATCTGTACCTGTATGATTTGAATGTTTTTAACCACACACAGTCAATACATTTACAATATATTGATTGGATGAAATTGGTTTACAATAACTATGTTTGTTCGTATCTGTACCTGTATGATTTGAATGTTTTTAACCACGCACAGAGTCAATACATTTACAATGTATTGATTGGATGAAATTGGTTTAAAATAACTATGTTTGTTCATTTTATAATTGGTCTGATCATCTTTTGGATTTCCTGTGTTTCAGCCTTCAATTTCTACACCATTCCAGCCGGTACAGACTGCTCAGAGCGGTAGTTCCTTTAGTTTTGGAAACTATGGTCAAACAACATCAGGTTAGTTTTATAACATGGAGTACTTCATAATGGATGGAACTCTGTTCTGGTTACTATTTATTTTTTATTTTTTGGTTACAGGTTGTTATTATTTTGTTAACGAATATTTTAGGATATTTTGAGTATTGACTTTGATTTTGTGGTCTCTTAACAGCTGGTATAAGTGGCTTTGGTACTTCCTCAAATATGTTTGGCCAGAATACCTTTGGACAACCGTATGTATAATTTTTTAGTGTATTTGTGCAAGATTGTTTAGGCAATTTTGCTTTCACTCTTTCAAAACCCTTGAATGGGGTGTAGGAGACAACTTACATTAATTTTGGTTTAACAGCTCAACTGTGCAAGCTCCTGTAGTTCCACAAGCAGTTTCAACTAATCCTTTTGGTACCCTGCCGGCGATGCCTCAGATATCAATTGGTCGGACAGGCACTTCTCCGTCAATTCAGTATGGGATTTCTAGCATGCCTGTAAGTGTACTTTCTTAGTGAATATGAATTTTTCGGTGATAATTAGTCATATCTTCTTATTATATTATTACTGAGAACAAAACAGAGACACAGGTACTTTTCTTCATGTCACGAGTGATTTTTTCTTCTCAGGTTGTTGACAAACCTGCCCCTGCAAGGATATCATCAATTTTGACATCAAGACATCTTTCCCAAAGGCGAATAAGGTTGCCTGCGAGGAGATACCACCCGCAGACTGACGGTCCTAAGGTAGTATTTTGACTGCAACTCATGAAATAATTGGATTACTTCTGTTCTGTAAGCTTCATTTGCAGTTGGGATCTGTGATGACAACCATGAATGGCTTTTCATCTTTCTTTGAACAGGTTCCTTTCTTTTGTGACGATGAAGAGACACCGAGTAAACCAAAGGCAGATGCCCTTTACATCCCAAGAGAGAACCCTAGAGCTTTGGTGATTCGCCCAGTGGAGCAGCAGCAATCTCAGATGAGTGCTGGAAAAACTATTCTATCGAAAAACACGTTCAGTGCCACTCATGAGAATGGTAAACTTACAGCACATCTTTTATTTTAAAATCATTTTAGGTCACACATGGCTGCAAGTTTCTTGTGCAATTAAACTAGTCAACGTTAATTGTTTGTAATTCACTTGGTGGTTGAGCTATGTTAGGTGTAAGTCGCAAGTTTTGCACCGATTGAGTTTAATTGTCTGTCTATAGAGTTCTGCATGCTGTGTGGCAGCGTTGCGAATATTGTGTATTTATCATATGCAAACTTATTTCAGGGAGAGAAGAATTGATGATACACATTTGAACAGTTGGTTGATTTTCTATACCTATGATGAGGTATCAGATTTGTGTTGACGCCTGATTTTGTCATTTGTCTAGGTAAAACTCCTGAAGCTGGTCCCACCCCATCTATGAATGGTTTTAGCAATCAGGATAAAGGTATTAAGCACTTTTCAAGTGGCTATGGCCTTTTGTCTGAACTGCTTCTGTAGATCTTTCTGTTTGTTTTTTAAATGGTAAAAGTGGTACTGTTGATGAATATGATGGAGTTGCTACCTCTCGTTGCACTTGCTTCTTTTCTGATGTCTCGATTCCTGTTATTATTCTGTGAAATGACAGTGGAATCTATTGAAAATGGCTTTGAAGAACGGACTCTACCTAAACAATGTCAGAAGCCTAATGGAACTTCTGATTCATTGAGTGTTGCTCCTACTGGTCATCGAGCTGGTGAAGCAGCTATTGCATATGAGCATGGTCCTGAAATTGAGGCGCTGATGCCGAAGCTTCGCCACTCGGACTATTATACAGAGCCCAGAATCCAGGAATTGGCTGCCAAGGAAAGGGTTGAGAATGGTTACTGCCAGCGTGTGAAAGATTTTGTGGTTGGTAGACACGGGTATGGTAGCATCAAGTTCATTGGAGAAACAGATGTGCGGGGACTTGATTTGGAATCTCTTATCCAGTTCAATAATCGAGAAGTGATAGTCTACATGGACGAGAGCAAGAAACCTCCTGTTGGACAAGGTCTAAATAAACGTGCAGAGGTTACTCTTCTCAACATAAAATGTTTTGATAAGAAGACAGGACTGCATTACACGGAAGGGCCGAGAATTGAGAAGTATAAGGAGATGCTCAGAAGGAAAGCAGAGGATCAGGGTGCTGAATTTGTCTCTTACGACCCTGTAAAAGGAGAATGGAAATTCCGGGTGGAGCACTTTAGTAAATACACCCTCATAGAGGAGGAGGGTGATGAAGACTTGCTAAATCTTGCTTGAACGAAAGAGTTCAGCAGTACGGACGTATGGTATTTTCCTGGTTCTATGGATGTTTTTGTACAGGATATTAGTGTGTGGTCTCTTTTGGTTGGAATCATGGCCGTCGGTTAAAGCCATGGTTTCATCAGTTTTGTAATTTCTTGACTTGTATTTATATATATAGATATCTTTGCCAAATTTGTTTGGCCGTCTTTTCTTAATATATGCCTGCCCTTGATGACATGCCTGCCCTTGTCACTCGAAGATGGTTCTCGAAATAGTTGTATAAAATTTGGAAAATATTGTAGACTTACCATCCATCCTATAGGCTCCGAACTGTAATCGGCAAGAAAGGGATGTATAACTATAGCCTAGTGGACTGAAATATAGATATTGTGGGATTATAAGGAGTTGTGGTTGACATGTCTGGTTCCCTTCCCACCTAGAAGAGGATTATCAACTTCCACAATTCCCATTCTGACCCGCCACCCCAAACAATAATCACTTATTCTTGGTCTTTTTTGTCATTCCTTGCAGAATATTCCGAAAGTTTCCTGCATTAAATTTAAACATATGTTTTCAGTAATAAGACAGTGAGTTTAAACCAAATCTGAATTAAAAATTGGCCGCTAACAAGACCACTTGAACTACTGCATCATTAAAATACATGATCCGAGAGGCAGAAACGATTGAAGAGCTTTAAAGTTACCAAAATGCAAAACAAATTGTATCATGTGATTAATTACTAGCAATGCATCTTCTCCAAGGCCTTCAAAAAAAATAAAATCAAAATAAATCTTCTGATTCTCCATAGGTAGACAAGGAACTAAGATAAGACTCCCTAAAATTCGCTGTTTATCAAATTCTATTAGCATAAACATCATCATGCGCGCGCTAGAATTTCCAAAAATTTTGACTTATAAAGCTTAATCGAAAGCAATAAACCAGGATATTTTCATTTAATTCATTGTAGTTCTATGTTTTTTTTTTTTTCAACTTTACTAAAATTGATGAGATCACGTATGTGTAATAACACATATGTTTACTATAAGTCAGTTGAGTTTATATCTTTGTAAGTTAAATAAAGTATCTGATTAATTGATCACAAATTAAAATGGTTTTTTTTCCAAGGAGATACTCATCGTTATAACTACAATTCCAGCAAACCAAAAAAAATTAAGACGAAGATAAAACAGAGTCCATCCAATTAAACACGGATTCTCGCCTGAATTGTTCGTTCAGGAAGCCAAAGACTTAGTTACAAAACATCTCGCGTCTCCGAGCGGATGAGTTCAAAACGACCCTAAAAAAGTCTAGAAATATCCTTCCCACAAGGCATGCTGCCAAACCATCTAACCCTATTACATAAAATACTTCAAGATTCGCTGTAGAATCTTCAAGATCTGTATCAAAATACTCCACATGAAAAACATGTAATACCCAAGATTGCTTTGACAGAAACCCAATTTGATAAACTGGCATAAGTAATCGATGATCCATAGAAATGATTTGATTTGGGGGGAACATACGTACGTTGTAGGGTTGTGTTTCACACATTGGGCTCGGGGCGTTATTTTGATAATTGTTCATGGGCAACGGTAATTCCCATAAGTGTAATACGGAAAATAATAATATTAGAAAAAAAAAAAGAGTTTAATAAATGAAAGAATTCAGTATATTGCTAAAAAGAATTAGCATAATATTGGACCTGACTGTTTACTGTAGTGGGAAGGTGAAAGAAAATTAATTCCCAAAGTCACAACTTTTGAAGGACATTTTGCTTTCATGAACTATGCAGTTTGTAATGTAAATCGTTCCTTCTTAAGTTGATCTTCAACAACAAAAGAAAAGAACTTGAAAAGTTGTTTCGGCTATCAGTGTGTAGAAGACTAAATTAGACAACCTTCAATTACTTTCCTACACTAAAATTGTTGTCATAGTATGCGGCAAAATAAATAAATAGAGTGGATTAGAAGTTCTCACTACTATATACTATACCAATTACTGGTGTTAATGTTCAGGCATTTGGTAAAAAGGGCAACCATTATCTACTTTATAAAACTTCAATATTTTCAAGGACAGATGAATTCACGCAATTTCATATAACAGCTTCTGAAACCTAATTGCAGAGGCATCATGACGACCAACTTCAAAAACCTTGATCAACGACTGCAGTGCCCTGTCTATCATGCCCCTTTTTACGTCCACAAGCTTGGAATGTTCATCCTCAAGCTCTGTCTTCAGAGACAAGCAGAGGGCACCGAGCCACTCCTCCAAAAAATGCTTTTTCTGAAACACAGAGATAATAGTGATACATAAAACATTTATATCAATAGTTGCTGACAGATAACACAACTTGATAAAATCAAACAGTAATAATGAGACCTTGGATGTTCTTACTTTAACAAGAAATTCGTCCATGCCCTGCCACTCTGTATCTGGAGCAAGACTAATCACATGCAACGTGGTCGAAGTCAACTGCATCGAGTCACAAAGTGGGAGGAAGTAAGCAGATTGAAATAATAATAATAATAGATTTTCGAAACTTCAGACGTGATTCTGCAGTTTAGAAAAGTCGAAGTCAATGCATTTTGAGCGACGAAAATCTTTTGGAAGCCCCATAAAATGTGGTTTAAGCAGAATGGAAACATGGGAGGGAGCTAGGATTTAGAAACAACAAAAGCAATCAGTAGATTATATTAACCTGCATTTCAAGGGCAACCCTATATTTTAAATCAGCTGGTTTTGACACTTGATCCGAACCTAGATTCTCAAGAACGTGCACTACGCCTTGAAGGACATCAGAGAAAGATGAACCATAATCTGCTTCAAGCAAATAAAAAGTCCATAAACGACAAAGCACACGGAGCACAACAATTCAGGTAGTCTTTGTCCATACAAAAAAGGCAAAAAAAAAAAATTGTCAAAAAGGTTTTACCATTTACTTTACTTGGAACAGCCAGTGCAGCAGCAGCTTGTATCCTGATTTTAAAATTTGCAGAATCACGCAGGAGGAGTAAGAGTACACTAAAGACAGTTGGAGCCCTGCAGGAATTGTTCAACAATGGCAGTTCTTGAATGGGGACGCATCGAAAAATTGTTCAACAAAGGCAGTTCTTGAATGGGGACGCATCGAAAAATTTAGAACCAAGTAAACAAAATTCTTACCAATCTTTGTCATGTAATTCTAAAGTTTTATTGAGAAAGAGGTTGCTCAATGCATGGCAAACATTCCACTGGACCTGCAGAGAAACAACAATGAATTTCAGGGATCAAGTCAATGGAATATGCTAAAATAAGAACATTATGATTTGCAATTCATCTTGCATCGAGCAATTGTGGACATGTTCTAGTTTGAAGTAACTGAAACAGGCAACTCATTGAGCCGCGTGTCACATTGCTCCATTTATATTAGATCATTGTATACTTTCTCCTTAACTATTTACACCTTTATTATGTCTTCATATTCCTTCTTGTATTCTAATTTTTAATTTTCTTTTTTTAAAAAAAGATTCAACAATAGAATACTTTAAAAAGATGGTTACTGTTGCAAATTACAACAGTTGTCTTGTCTTCTTCTTAGAGTTTCCTACAGAGGGGGCTTGAAAGTACCTTCACATTACCCGTTGTAATACAAGAGACAAAAGCCTGAACCGTTTTTCCCAACCAATCCAAAACTTTTGGAGTGGCTGAATGGAGAGATTTTGAGTTACCACTGATATCCTGTGGCTTAGATGAAGATTTAATGTTAGCATTGTTTAGAGGAGAGGACGAACTGTTCACCGTCTCATCACAACCACCTGCGGGACCAGAAAATGGAACAAATCTACTGAGGTTTCCCAAAGCTCGCACAGCATTTGCCTTGACCTGGCCATAAGAAGATGATAATAAAACCTCAGGCAAACAGAAAAATATTTAAGTATCACAGTTGTGAGGAAATATTTATCGGGACAGGACATCCATCTTCACCTAAAAAGAGCTAAATCATCAAAGCCAATTGAATGATAGCAGTTCATTCAACCGTTCTGTCTCCCACTCTGCATCAACATGAGGAGGGGTAAAGATAGAACACTTTTACCTTGTCATTATCTTTCGATAGCCGCAAAGCACTGTCAATTAGCAGCAAAATCAATTCTTGGCTCACCTTTGAATCTGCCAAGGAATAATAATGAGAATGAAGTTTTGACAAATGTATACATCAAGAGTTTCAAGTTATCAAGCACAGCAGTCACCTATTGAACCACTATCAGAAGTGTGCACTTCAACACAATGGCGAAGGGAATCACAGATATTTGCTAAAGCCCATGATGCTGTGATGCGCACCTGAAGAAAAACACAAAAGGAAGTTATGTTCCAAAAAAAAGACTAAATGACTGGAGGTAATCATCTTAATGTAGCAGCTAAAATACGTACTGAGACCAGCAAATCATTAGAGTTGTGAACAGCAGCATTGATAAGCTTGTTAAGGATCTCTCCACTGTGGCATTAAGATTTTTCGTAAGTTCCTCCATTAGTTCATCTTGTTTCCAAAATTAGTTTCTACTGGAGATCTCATTACCTGTGGATTACCGGTGGAAAACATGCAATAACACCAATGGCACGGCATGCAGCTGACCTGACTGAAGGAACTTCATCACCTAGGGCAGCATGTACCTAATAAATTTTGAGTTTTCTTAGAGAAGAGCAAATAGAAATACCACAGATTAACTAAGAATGAAGAACTAGGGACCTGGAGCTTACTGAAGAACTAAGAATGAAGTCCTGTTCAGCTCTGGTCAGTGAAACCAACACAGGAGAAGTCAAACCAGCGAAGCAAGTCACTGATGCAGCCCTCACCTAGTCACCAATCGGGAGTTCAAAATAACGCAAATTAGAGTCCGGTAAGTGATATGGAGAATAGTCCAACATAAAAGTGAAAGTTAACTTTTTTATTTCAAAAAAACTTGCAACAATCAAATGAAGTTCTAAAAAGCTACTGTTAAGGAAAACCATACAAGAAACAGAGAAAGTATTAAGTGATGCAAACCGGAGGACCAAAAATTATGCGAACAAATTGATTTTGGAACATAACCAACCATGCCAGAAGAATGCCGAAGACATAGAGGCATGTGTCTAACTATTGCTTCTGACCACTGCTCATTTCCAAGCAGGCAAGCTCCCTCTGTATTCCTTCGTGCAGTAGGGGTTAGCAATCCATCTAATGGAGCAGATGAAATGGTTTTCATCCTAATAGAATCAGGTGTAAACGCGGAATCGAGAAGTTTATCATCAGAAAGATCCTCAGTTCCTTTGAATCCCGATATTGCACGTAAACTTCCGTCCAGAACCTAAGAAAATTCAGTGTCATATAAAGAACCCACAGCACTCGGCATTGCCATATTAAGAACCCACAGTCACGAATGACGCACAAACAAAATAAAGGTTTCAGTGCAGAATGAGCCCACACGGGTAGAATCAATGCATAAAATATTAGTGCAAAGCATTTTTGCAGATGTATAATCAAATGTATGCTTAAAACCCAAAGTAACTAGTCTTTTTTCTAAGAGACCAGTGAAATGAAAAACACGAGTAACTTGCACAATGATACCACTACTGGTAGCAAAAGTGAGTTGGCATATAAAGGCAAATAAATCCAGAAAAAATCTGGAACGAGGTAAAACTCACCTTGATTGCAGCTGTAATTACTTTCTCCCAAGTGGGGCCACCTGTGTATCCAGTATTATTCTTCCATGATCTTGCTGGCATATCACCAGTACAGCTTAAAAGTCCAAATACAATAGAGGACACTTGTTTCCAGCATGAAGACATTGTACCTGGATAATTATGTGCCACAATTCTAAGGGCCTGCATTTAACTATGAAGAGAATCAGACATAATTTTCCAGCTTGCAAATGCATTATGCATAAAAAGCAAGTATATCAGTGTAGTAGGAGCATCATAGAAGACATTCTCAACTAGGAAAAATAATTATTGCCGAGGCAAAGATATTACCTGCAAGGATTCAAGGCATATGGATGGGCAGGTTAAAGGTTCTGAACATCGGAACAGTAGTGATAATATTCCAGATCTTTTTTGGAGCTCGGAAAAACCTGAATAGCCATCAGATCAAACTTATGATATATGTCAGGGCAACAAGGAATCCTCAGATGATTTAGAGCAATTTACAGGAAAAGATAAAACAACTTTTGGCTGCTCTTTAGATGGATTTTTGCGGAAAACCATGACCAGGTTAACAAAAATAATCATTCTTGCTACATTCTTACATAGATAACATACTAACCTCTAGCTACTTCCTCCAAAAGCATATCCTTGACATGATCTGAGGGAGGCGAGACAGATAAAGCTACAGTCAAGCAATCAATAGCACCAGCCTGAAAATATAAGATATTGAAGAAAGTATGAGGCATCTTGTTTTGGCTTGTTTACATGTATAAGAATGGCAGAGAAGAAGAGGTAAAGGGTAAAATTTACAGGTGATGAAAATCCAAGGGAAAAATGCAATTAGAACTAAAGATTATTCATTCATACCAGATGACAGAGACGGGATCTATCTATCCCGAATAAGTATGATAAATTTGTAGGTGTTATTAACTTGTAAAAGGAATACAAATATTGTTTATCAAAAAAAAAAGGGAATACAAGTATTGGAGCAAATGTCAAGAAAGAACTACTTCCGCACCAAAAGGCTTTGAGAAGTCTATAAAAGTTGGATGGTTATACATCCAGTTATGACACTGACCAGTACACTTGTCTGGTCACTCTGAACTGAGAGGGTATCTTCAATTTTCACTTGGAGAGAAGAAATAATGGAAGGTAACAACTCCATGGGCATTCTTGAATAGCTGTAAAATCATTACGAGGTTATAATGAAAAGCCATTTCTTGCTGTGTTTTGATGCAGTATGAGACAAAAGTAAAGATACATGGAAGAAATGCTTTACAACACAATCAAAGAAAAGGATTCTTACGGTGTGGATGATATCAAAGCCGTCAGGAGTTTGAAAATGGCAGCAAGAACTCCCTTATGTGGTTCATATTTAATTAAGTAAAGTATGCCTGTTTATGCATATCAAAATCTGCAAATTAATACTTGGTGTATCTGAAGCGAGAATTGCCACAGACAGTTGTTTGAAACGAAGGGAGTTACATACATTTCTTCTAACCTGAATGAAGCTGCATTGAGATTTGTCCAAGGGAGATAGAAAGTGCTGTAAAAGATCCAATCTTGTTGGAATCTTTATATTCTGCAACCTTTAGGAAAACAGCAGCAGGTCCATCCAGCATTCCTGTTATAGCAGCAGCGGATGCAAGCCGTGCCTAGGCATCAACACCATGTTTCCGTCACAAACCTTCTCAAACACGCATCTCTTTCAGTTATTATAAAGAAGAAACCATACCTTAAGGTAAGGATCAAATAGTAGGCAACTCATCAAAGTTGCTTCATACTTCCTGCAAATAAGCAAGAACCAAAAACAAAACAACTCATAACAAAGAAAGCAATAAAATACATTTCAGTATTTGACCAAAATAACACACCAAAATGGTTGTTAAACCTTGGCTGTAAGATGTCACTACGGGGTAGAAGAACAGTCCATTGGCTGGTAAAAACTTCAGGATCATCTCTACAAAGATCCTTCAAGGGAATTCAATGTAAACTGTATCAGGAATTTGAGATTGATTAATCAACTACAACTTTTATAACGGACAAACCTGTATACAGACAATAGCAGCTAGTCTAGTCTTGCCGAAAAGAACTATGTTAGGATCTCGTACAGATCCCTCACTGTCACTGTAATCTGAATCAGAAAATGTTTGATAAGCTGTAGAAGAACCAAGCCCAGTGGGGGCCATAACTTCCTCGTCTTTCTTTTGCACGCTCTTCAACTCTTTCCGCAAGTGAGGTGGCCTATAACGAGAGGAGTCTGATTTATTTAAGTCTGCCACATTTACATTTTTGGTGGAAGAACCATGCTCCTTCACTATACCAACCTCTTGTGACCTGGAAGGGTTTCGGCCAGCAACACCATAATTCAGAAACATCCTCAGAACTGCTATAAAACCAGAAACCTGCCCAATCTCAGACACAAAGGGAGTATCAATATTAGTTAATGTACTTAACATCTTGGTTACAAAAAAAAAAGTTTTAGATCCCGGAAGAGATGGAGGCATATTCTTACATGGGCTGAAAGAGATCCTTTAGGATTCATGAGAACCAAGTGAAGGCAATGCAGCACCGAGCAGTAAAACCTACGTAGGACAGCCATTAATTAGAATTTGATGGATAAAAATTCATGAGATAATAATTCTAGACGTAGCATATGGTACCTTGCCATGAAGCTGTCTTCCTTCAGTGGACCCTTAGAAGCTAATAAATCAATCACCTGTCTGAGAACCTGACTCAGCATAGGAAAAAAATATTTTAGCATAACTTCTAGGATTCGGAGGAGAGGATGGTCAAGGATTTCCCTAATTCTCACCTCAATTGTTGATTTCCAAACATCAACCTGCATAGACTGCTCAACCTTTGAGTACACTTCGCCGATAAGGGCAAAAGCAGTTTTCTGGACTTCCCATGTACACTGGGTTTGCAAAACTTTTGTATTGCTGCTTGAACTATGCGGCGCCATCTGAAAGCCAGCGATAACAAGATGGAGGAAATCGAGTAGCCGTTTGTGGTCTGGTAGCAAGCTGGTTTTCTGAGGAACCTCAAAAAGCAACCTGTACAAAAGCAAAAAGGTTAGCATCACAGAAGCAAGGAAGAGATCAAGTGTTAGTAAGAGACAGAGTACCTAGCAGACTCTAAACATTGTTTAATTGCTCCAATAACAGAAGCATTTCGAGTAAATTCCCCACTTGATTTCGCACTGCCAACAAAAACTTCTAATGCTCTCCGAAAGCAGTCAAGTGTCATAGCCAAACTGGATTGATTCATAACAAAAGCAACACGAGGAACAGTGCTGTGGATCTGAACATTTTCAAATACAGAGATGATTATTAGAATTATAGCATTTGTGCATTTCACATGTGATATAGTGGGCTACTGTACCATTTGTGAGTTTACTGAACTTTTATCTTTGCATATGTTGTTTGGGTTTGTTTACTGAAGTTCAATCTTAGCTAGTAAACCCACCACCCCCAAAAAAAAAAAAACAAAAACTATAAATGAACTAGCTGAATTGAGCCAAAAAGAATTCTGTGGGAAAGAAAAACATGAACAACAACAATAAAAAAATAAGAGAATTCGCCAAGTAAGCAATTAAACTCCAGGCAGAGTTCTACTTACAAATTTCGAAAGATGGATAAAGATCTGAGTGAGGTCATCAATATGAGTAGAATCAGACACATTGAGCGCCAATTCCATGATGAGCACAACATCAGATTCAACCTCGCGAGGAGGCAGTTCTGAAGCAGCAGAAAGTATGGAGTCGGATTGGGAAAATATAACGTGATTGAGGAGGCGGAGGTGGTCGTTGTTGTTGACACCAACTCCATCGGAAGTTTGAATTTCGTCCCTTAGAGTTAGAAACGCCGTTCGCCATTGCCTCGTGGATGATGAAGATGAAGAAGAAGAAGCAGCAGCTGTTGATGTAAATGCCATCAATGCCTCAACAAATCACTCAGCCACACCTCAATCTGCACTGTTTTAATTCTTTTCTTCCCTTTACGAATTTCTCAGCCCAGTCATTCACCATCTCTTCCCGTCGTCGTTCATTTCACGGTGGTTGCGCGGCAGTTGTGGCGGTGCAAGGGGCAAGAAGATTCGACGGCCTGATGACCCAATGTATATTACGGGTCAAATTGTTTGGGCTTTGGCTTCCTTGAGCATTCTTTTTGTTTGGGCCTGATTTAGAATTGGGCTTCAAGCAATCTCTTCTACAATTTTCTCCGAGTCAGCTTCTCCAGGTTTTTGAAGTCATTGGAAGCAGAAGAGGACAAAGGAGAAGAAACAATTTTTTTAATAATATTATTCGCAGCCAGACGCTCAAGGGCGGAGATTGCTTTCATTGCTTTGGTCCATACATAAATTAATTAACAAATTACTTAATTTTCGCCCAGAAATGGATTGATAAGAACGAGACTTGTGGGGATATGGTGTACAGCTGAATCTCCCTTAAGAATCAGAGAATCAGAATCCGAAGGAAGGGATTCATTTCATCACTCTTCCATTGAAGATGGATGGAAGGTTTATTAGATTATGGCCATGGAACACTTTCACTATCGGAGCCGTGCTGTTGATTCTCACTTACCGATTCTTCAGGTGGTGCTCCGCTTGCCTCCGTCGCTCCTCCGCCGTTAAACCCGTTCCTCACGCCATACCATCGTCATTCTCCGACGTCCCTGCCCCTCAAGCTAGGTATCTTCTTCATTCATCGAACTTTTTTTTTTTTTTTAAATTTACTATGCTGGCAGTACTGCTTATTTTGTCGTGGAATATTGTTTAGCTTCCTCAGTAACAAGCTGGGGTTTTGTTATCTGTCATCTAATTCTACAAAATTCTTTCAGAATCTCTGCCATAATATCTGACACTGATCTAAAGAATCTGGTTGATGAGGTGAACGACAAAATTCACCGGGCTGAGGATTGGGAGCATGTCATTGATCGAAGGAACCATATGTTTTCCTACACTGCCAAACGTACTAAGCCAAAGGTTGTTACTTGCTATCCCTTTCTCTCAATACTCTCTTTAAGATATTATCACTGTGGTGAATTCATGAATGGCTATACTAGTTTATGTAACTCAACTCTCGTTGATGTGAAGTCATTGTCTTTGAGCTCAGTAAGATCCCAAATAAACTTCTATATTTCCTGCTGCATCTCAACTGAGCTTTGCCAAATCAAAGTAAGATGTGATTGTGACCAGTATCTTTTTTTTTCCCCTGATAGGTTTTGCTTTGATGAAGATATTTCCTGTGTAAAATTGAATCCTAAACATCTGCGTATTGGTGTTATAGTGTCAGTAGACTTGTTGATTTTAGATAAAAGGTTCTTTTCCCTATCAGTTCTATTCTTCACCAATTACTAATGCTTGCCTTATCTGACCTACCACCAATAGGTCCCTAATTCTCCTGCTAGCATTTGAGTTATTTAACAAGACCTTTGTTCTAACATTTTTCCGTTGCAGGATGGTCCTGTCAAATATCTGAGTCTTACAGTGTTTGAGAATTGCTCCCCTGAGTTGCTGAGAAATTTTTACATGGATAATGACTATAGGAAAACTTGGGACAATACGATAATTGAGCATAAGCAGCTGCAAGTGGATGTTAGTAGCGGAACTGAATTTGGTCGTACAATTAAGAAGTTCCCTTTCCTATCACCGAGAGAGTATGTATTAGCTTGGAGAGTTTGGGAAGACAAACACGGGGCCTTCTATTGTCTTAGCAAGGTATCAGCGCTTTTGTTTGGGATGTGTTTGTGTGTGCTCACCCATTACAAATAAGGATTTGGGGTGGTTGAAGAACAAATTTTTTTGTTGTTTGTGGCATTTTCTCATATTTATCTGTTAACGCCCTCACTTTTGCGTCTCGCTGATGTTTCTCTTTGGGATTATCAGGGATGTGAACATCCTCGTGCCCCAAGCCAGAGGAAATATGTAAGGGTTATGTTCCATAGGTCTGGTTGGCGAATCAGAAAAGGCAGGTTTTTTCACTGATCTTTTTATATTTTCTTTTTTGTGCATTGGGTGATACAGATGGGAATCTGTTACTGAAGGCGTATTATTTCTGGCCATTCCTTTCCCATCTCTGTGCAATTATATATGGAGTTAACAAACATAATGATGTTCTTTCAGTAGCGGGTCGAAATGCATGTGAAATCACAATGGTGCATCAAGAGGACGCTGGTCTGAATGTGGAGATGGCAAAACTTGCATTTGCAAAGGGCATATGGAGTTACGTATGTAAAATGAATGATGCCCTCCGTTTGCATTCGTTAAAACATACTCCAGCCTTGAATGAAGCAATGCTAATTCAAAAGGTTGGGAATCATTTATTCTTGCTTTATGTTGTTTCTTCAAGGTTCCAGTTTTGTCCCCTATGCCTTGTCTTGAAACCTCATACTCAGTTTGTAAAAAGTTTCTAATTATTCATATTTATGATGGTAGTTTCCCCCCGGGCTTGAAGACATTGATCATAGAAGCACGACTCATTCAGAAGTTGCAGCAGATACTGTTTGCTATCGGCAGGCATCCGAAAGCCATGGTAGTAGGTCTGTCAAAGCTCCTCCAAATAAATTATTGAAAAATGGTTTGATCCTAGTAGGGAGTGCAATCTGCCTATCTCGGGGCCATTCCAGCTTGGGTGCAAAAGTTGCGATGGTATATATTTTGACCAAGTTAACTAAGCGCCGTGCTACTTCTAAAGCGGGCAAGCCTTAGCTAAACACAGATTCTTCAAAATTGTGAATAAGAATTGAATGTTGAAACTCTGATTTACAGATAGCACAGATAGTGTAGAAAGAAGTCTCATTGTATAAAGTTGACAAGCCTTTGTGATGCTTGGGAATTTTGAAAAGCATCTGTGATTCTTGGGAGTTTTGCCAGAGATAAAAGTGGTGCCTGTATTGGATGTAAATGGAAATATGATATCGAATTGAACAAAACTAATCACATCCCCTTCTTTCATTGTTTATATCTTAAGGTCTTGTTCATAGATTTACTTATTTCAATGCATCTTAGGATTATTGACGCAGAAATGTCATTTGACGACATCAATCCTTGTTGGGTTGGAGCGTGGATGACATGATAATATCAAATGGTTTTAAGTATGAATGGTATTTGATAGACTAAACTGTAGCAATCCATTAGATCATGCTAATGTGTTACAAGGCTCATGGGAAATGAAAATTTGAACTCATACATCAATCATAAAAATGATCTGTTCCGGTAAATTTTCCCCTTTCTTCTATCCTAACTTGGCATGAGGGCAGAAGCATTGTACCATCCAACTCCTACCATCTTCTAGTAACAGTGTCGAGTGTGTATTTTGCGTACAAAACAGATCCAGGTTTTAAGACTGTAACTCAACAATTACCACAACCTGTATTTCGAGCGCAAGCCTGCTGGATGTAAATAAGCCAGGAGCTAAGTGCTTTCCAATACCTTATTAATCTTGTCAGCATAAATCTGCTGTACTTGTTTACGAAGAATTTCCACATCCGTAGCATGCTCGCCATGTTGATCATCCTTTGCCAACCGCTGCAATTGTTCCTTCATTTTATCTAAAGCTGCATCCAGCTCACAAAACTCCTTGAATATAGATGCTCCAGACTGTAACCTTAATAGGTTTTCTACAGCATGAAGTACCTACAATTCATTGCATTCTACAGTCAGCAAAGTTTTTGGAATACTGAATAACATGCCTAGAGACCAGTGGCATCTTAAACCAGTTCTTACAAAAGAAGTAACAACAACTTCTATATTGTGTTCAAAATAAGTAGTAACATCTCAAGCCTTTGTTGCTATGCAGATCTGCACCTTAAGTTGCATGGTTACAAACCAAAAATAGGTACCTTTTCCTGGAGATCAAGGTCCATTGAAGCCAGTAGATCAACCACAGACCTCAAGAACAAAGGGTTGCTGAAAAAGGGTGGTACAGGATAACTAGGATTTTCCATTTGAGACTCTGCCAGATCACTCACGATTGACACAGATCTCTTGTGTATTCTTACATCAATATTTGATTTGCTCAGCAGGTCCTGCGAGAAAAATCAACCAATGTTGACGATGGCATTAGATCCAGTAACTCAAAGCAGGCATGCGGTTATATGAAGATCTTTTTAAAATTTCCACTAAGATCACCTGAATTATTAAATCCCCGGATTCACCATAAAAAAGTTGCTGTCCAACCACGTTATTCCTGATCAAAGCAGAAATAGCATATAATGCTCTAAGGACTTCCTCGACAGAATTGGATTTTGTCATCTTCAGTAGTTCTGACAGGGCACCAAGCTCCAAAAACTGAGAGCCTCACTTGTTTTAGAAACAGATGATATCGTAATGGACTTATGACACTCATGACTGCTGATGAAGAAATACACAAATGAACTCAAACTAACCTGCTTCTGAACAACAGGATTGTTTTGACAGGCTTTGCCAAGAACCAGTGCCGAAGTTGTCCTAACCTCTGAATCAGGATGATTTAGCTCTTTCACAACCACAAGGGTACCCCCAAGTTTGTGGAGATCTGCAAACCAAATGTTTCTATGAAGCAGCCATTGGCAAAACAACCAGTAGTATAAGAAAAAACCACTCCCGTACCCTCAAAAGAATAGGATATACTTAGTTCTTTCATGACAAGAATCATCAGGTGGTAGACGATGAAGTCCAAACCAGGACCTTGATATTACAGAATTCCATCTATTACTCCCAAAATCAAGTCAAAGCCACAATGTACGAGCAAACAAATAGAATCGAACAGGCGAGGATATATTACTAAAAACTCAAACAAGCAAGAACATGGCACAGAAACAAATAAATCCAACTCTTCCACAAAAAAGATGAAATGAAGCAGATAACAAAACCAGCCAAAGTCATTTGCGGCAGGAAAGAATAAAAATTAACAAAAGGAATTGGGCACACCATTTGCGTTATCTATGGGCTCGACCAGTTCAGAAAGCTCCAGCAAAGCACGAAGATGATCCTCCCATGGCAAAGACGAGTTATTTAAGTCATCAATGGCAATTTTCATAAGTTCCGCGTCTGACGGCATCTTCATCTTCTCAATCAATTCCTATCGAGACAATAATACAACTGACTAAGCAACAACAGCATACTAAATTAACATAAAATTATGAGGATGAAACTCGTGGTAAGCTGAAAAGTACCTTAATCTCATCTTGACGTTTCTTGAGCTCATCAGGAGATTTGCGCTTGACATCCTCTGCCGTTTCCTTCAACTTAGAAGGATCAGAGTGTCCTGAAAATGCCAATCTATGGTTCAGTTATACTGTCGCTTACACAACAACGGAGTTCTTCAAAGAAAATAAGTTGGCCCTAAAACACGTAAGAAACTCCAAAGCACTAGTGGGAAAGTATACCTATCGCCCACTGTAGCATCCCGTCGAGGGATGAGAAACCGCCGTCGACATCATCTTCATTCCACTCTCCGGCGAAAGTACTGATATCGACATCTCCCTCCTCTTGAGCGTTTGACCAGTACAAGCCTGCCGCCGAGGCGGTCTCGTTACTTCCTTCGACCTTAGCAGCAGCCTTAACTGCAATCACAGCCAATAAGGCAACGGCTATCGCTAAAACCGACGAGTAACTCAATCTCATCGTCGTCTCCCTTCCAATTACGCCTCCTCGCTCAACTGCTGCAGAATTCACTTGATCGGAAACCGGCGGAATAAGGTGATCGGAAAATGCCAAAGCTTTTTCTCCTCCGACTGACTATATTTGGTAGGGGTTTAAATGGACTAATGTTGCACCTCAGGCCCAATAAAAGTGAGAGACAGGCCCAAGTGTTTTTGGTCTTTTTGACTTGGAAACAGAATACGTAATATAATCATGGAAAAAGAAGAAAGGAAAAGTTTTAATGGTGGAATTTGGGGAGGAAGGATCCAACAACCCCCAAAAAGAAAGAAGAAGAAGTAAGGACTTTTTGGTTACCAAACAACTTCACCAACCAAACAGTCGTCATCACTCTTCATAAATGTCAAGTTGCAGAAAGGGATGCTCTGTGTGGAATGGAATGGAATGAAAGCCGTACACTACAAATCAATCTCTCACACGCCTATTGCTTTTCCTAACTAATTTGATCGACGACCCAATCGAATCATCATCATCATAGGTTAGGAAAAAATGGCTGCTAGATTGGGCCTGCCGTCGTCTTCTCTGCCGGCTCAAATTCCGGTTTCCCTGAATCCTCATACTAGAAGCGGCGGATTGTATCAGCTGAAGTTGAATTCGAAACCTGGAGTTATAGTATCAGCTGCTGATCCAAAGAATACTACTATCACCAGCGGCGGCGGCGGCGGCGGTGGCGGCAGTGTGAATCATAACAAGGGAAGCCGGTCGTCCACCACCTCCAATTACGTGGTTCCCTTGGACAAGCCTTCCTGCATCACTAGGCCTCTCGCCGAGATCCTCCGAGACCTTAACAAGAGAATTCCTGATAATCTCATCCAAGACGGTGATCCCACCTTTATTCCCTGGTCGGTTCTTCTTCCCCATTTTTTCCATTGTTTGTTCTTTCGTACTGTTCTTAATCTTCGTGGTTTATTGATCATTTCTAAATGTACTTGCTTCGTAGGTACCATGCCAATCGCATGTTAAGCTTTTATGCACCAGGTAAAAATCCATTCTTTACCATTATGAGTCTTGCATATGAATGAATTTATCATTTTGATTTCTTATTTAGAACTGAAAAACAGAGGTGGAAGAAATCAACAACATTGATTCACTTGGTTTGTGGATGTAATCTGAAAGGTGGACTCTGTTTCAGGTTGGTGTGGTGAGATACGTGACATTATTTTCTCGGACAACTCTACTGTGACTGTGGTTTACCGTGTTACGGTAAGAGGTTCCGATGGAGAGGTATGATTTAGATAGAGTTTCTTTTTTGTACGTCCATTTTGTATCTTATCACCAAATGTATATATTCTTTGGAGTAAAAATCAGTTCCATACATAATTTGATGAATGGCATTGGGGGAGATTTTCCCTAATTGTCAACTGCGGTTTTAGGATAAGTTGTGGCTTATCTTTTCTGTTGAATGTCACGATGAAGTGTTCTCTTTGAAGTTGTTGCATTGTGCTATAAATGTGATCATATTCTTTTTCTAAGTTTGCGTTTTCCTGAGCTTGACTCCATTTTTATCCACTCATGAGATTGTTTGGAATGATGCATCCTGAATTCTTTATGTAAGGTTAATAATATGTGCAGTTCATTAGATGGCTGTTAAGTTCGGGTTTTATGTATCTTTTACTCTCTCGCCCTCTGTCTCTCTTGTGTGCTTGGACAGCAGTCGAAGTTTACTCTACCATTGATCTTTACAAAGGTTTTCTATTAACTTGACACGAATTTGTGATCTGTGCAGGCACACCGAGAATCAACTGGAACAGTGTCATCCAGCAGCAAAGACATTGTAGATCCTGTCGCGGCTGCAGAGGAGATAGCATTTTGCAAGGCATGTGCTCGTTTTGGTCTAGGCTTATATCTGTATCATGAATGATTCAGAGTAGTATTTAGGTTCAGGCCTTCATAGTTCATATTGTTGTATTCTTGAGACACTATCGCTAATAGTCGGACCATTAATTAGTTTGTGAAGTTGGAAGATGAATATCCCATCGCAATTCTTCTTATTCCAGGCTTTGCTGCTTTACTTTGAAGCTGATTCAACATTCACTTTTTAGGTTTGCCTAGTAGTTTGCTTCAGAAATGATTGACTATCCGTTTTTGTTTAAAGTTGAATATGGGTTCTTATGTGATTATGAAAAATGTAAAGATGGAAGTCATGATTATGGAAAAATTCACAGATTCGAGGAGGAATGATGGAAGCGGTCAATCATTCTCGAGGTTTTGTGATTTTGAGCTAATTTATTGTTTCATTCAAATGCGAGAGGTTTACATCGACTTGATGGCCGAACTTCCTAATAAAATTCATATCCAAATTCAATAAGTAACTGGGACTGGTTGGTTGAGTAACCTGTGAAAAGCCGAATCAGTGAGTGTTCATGAACATATGATGCCCCAAAGCTAGGCAGGATGATGTTGCATATACCGTGAGGTGCAAGGGTTTTCAGCTTCAACTTGCTGGGACATTTCAAGAAAAACGCCAGTAAGATCGACAAGGAGCATCAAGGATGAATTGAACTTAGCTTAACATTTGTCTCACAACCGAATATAAAAAGGTTATCGAATTAACCTGACTTACATTGCCGGGGCTATCGAGTCCGGCGCAAAGGTTAATGGACTTGAAGACTAATCCTGAAATGTAAGAATGTGTCTTCTGTTTTTTTTTTTTTTTTATTTACTGCTTGTAAGTTTGCAAGACCTCAAGTGGGAGCTGTGCCTTTTGTTCGCAGTAATAGAGGAACAGTGCGTTCATACTGTAATTAGAAATGTCACAGGAGAATATAACAGAACATCTTCAAAATTGAGCAATACTTGGAAACAAATTCTTCTAGCTATAAGTTGTATACAGCATATACAAAGTTGTACACCACCTATACAACTTTATTTTTGTCGTAATTCCACTTTCAAAATATTCTTACATCAGAAACTATCCCGGATTAAGACTATGAAAACTCATCCCGACATCATTCTCAATTTGTATATTAGACGTTTTGAAGGACACTCCTCTCGTCATCTCTCAGGAAATGCTTACGCCTGATCGCCATACCAATCAGCTAGTTCGAGCTCGCTTGGACTTTGGCCATCTATTTATAAGTACTCAGTGCCAAAGTTGATACTCTCTCCGTCTTAAAATTATTGTCTAATTTGCATTTTCAATTTTAGTACAATTTGAACTGGAAATAAAAATTTAATCTGAACAATAATTTTGGGACATAAGGAGTAATAAATGTGTCCAACTTTATTATCAGATTATGAAACTCAACGAACTTACATCGACGCTAGAGGATATGCTTTTACACAGGAAATTTACATCTCGTCGACTTGATATTGAGTTTAACGTGGGGCTAGAAAAGTCGACGGATCTGTGGCTTCATATCTCAATTAAGCTAATCAGTTCCTTGTGTTCTACATACATCTAACGGCTGAATCTTTGCAGTAAATCCTCTAGCTCCTGTTGATTTGACCCACAAGTAATCATTATTCTCATTAATAAAAAGGGGAAGTTTTAAGTTTGTGTTCCATTTATTTCTTGTCTAATTAACTTCCTAGTCCCACAAATCGATAAATTTTCGGTCAACCACCACTAGGAAAATGAATGGCTAGCCCTCTACCCCCATATCTGCATGTTGAAGAGCTTTAATGATCGAAGGACGCATGAAATTTAACCCAAAAAAGTGTGCTCATTGAATACAATGAAAGCTAAAAAGTTGGTAAAAGTCTCAACTCTCAACTCTCAAGAATCAACTTGTTTAGATGAGGAACATTTAACCTAAAAATTGTAATGTAATACTCCCTGTAAAACGACCAGAAATCTGCAAACAGGACATTCTTCCTCAAATTTGGGGGTTGGCCTGGTACTTAATGTCTAAAACAATAATTCATTTCAAATTATACTGTTCTTAATACAAACTGTAAAATACGATGTGAACTATTTTTTCTGTACACAAGTAATATAAGTTAATAACTAATAATCAAAACGGATATCAACGTATCGAGTTATAAATAATTCATGTATTCTTTTCTTGATATAATTACTCACTTAATACAGTGATAGAAATTATTGTTCAAACTAATCCGAGTTCGAATTATCCCGCAGTTCCTCTCCGCATGATCCATTTGATGTAGCCTTGCATTCATCTTACTAGCTCGATGTGGTAGGTGTACTATTAACGCATATTCGTCCCATTTTCGTTACCTTCCAAATCAAAGTGGTCAAAATTTACCAAAAAATTAGAAACAAAAGTAGCCAATAAAAATCATAAAAATGAACAATGTAATGTAATGCATGTAACCCTAAGTAATATATGTCCCCACTAATCACATGCAACCCAATTTGGGGGTCTTCACTACTTTTAATCATCTCGACTTTTAAAATTTTAATTTTCCAAATTAAATAAGCACGAATCCAAACCGACCCAATCCGCAAGTATCTCAGGTAAGTATATAATTAGAGTAAGACCAAGTCGTTGCAAAAATTCGTAGGTAGGCTATGAATAAAAATGATGGGATCAACTCACCTGCGTGAAACATATCATTGAATCGATTTTAATTTTGGGTTGATCAAAGTGGAGAGAGGACTCATAATCACATGGTGGATGACATTATTATATTTTTCCTTCCTCTTATTCTACCCATATGGCATATGCTTTGTTGAATGAATATATTTGTAATAACACTTTATTTTATAATACAAACTTTTTTATCCACATTCGATTGGTACTCGGTATAAACTTAATCATGCATGTGCTTGCACTTCTTTCTTGCTTCTTCAATTTCTATAACCACAAAATTTCAATGTCCATTGTTCTTTATTTTTTGTGTGTGTGTGTGTGTGTGTGTGTTTTTTTCATTTTTTCCTTGTAGTTATGTAAGCTAAGTCGATAGAAATTGTGTAACGATACAACACCTTGAATTAATAATGTAAAGATAAAATTATTAAGTTTCACTCTTTAAACACGAAATATTACAGAACGATCATTGTTTGAAGTCTTCATTTGGAGGGAATCAAACAAGATTTGTTGTGAAAGAAAGGAATGAAGAAGGCAATCAATGTCCCAATGGGTCCAATGATTACATGCTCATCACACTCCAATTCAAGACGATGATTGAATCTTTTCCGAGAAATACATTGAGCAATCATGAAAGATGGAATGGGTTAATGGGTAAGAGAGTAGCAACAGATTCATGCATGGCCTCGTCAACCAAAAGTTAATATAGTCAAGAGAATCATTTAGCTTAATTGGTGAACATAATTTGGTGCAGTGGCTCTCAAAATCTCTTTAACATGGATCAGGGCTCATGATGAGTGAGATCACCCCTCATCATTATATTCAATCATTAATTGTCAGTTAACCTAGATTTCAGTTTTGGTTTGCTCTTTTTTGGTTAAAATATATGTTACCTAGTCTGAATGTGGGTGTGTCAGGCAAATGGCTGCAATGATGAAGCAAGGAATGGGAGTGAGAAAGGGGCTCTCTGCCTCTCTCCATATGATCAGTTGGAAAGCTTTTTGTTTCTAAGAATTTTTTATAGTGTTATACTAAAATTAGTACTACCCTACAAACTTACAAAGGAAATAAAGACCAGGTTTCATTTGTAATTACAAAATTGATTAAGATTGTACTAACTGTATTATATTAGGGAAAAAGAAAAAAAAAAATTCAAGTAAACTCATGAGAAGAAGCATAAGCATGCAGTACTGGACAAACACCCACTGTGTCACCACCACCCTCCCGCAGTATCTTAGAAGCTAGCAGCCTACAGGATTCTGCCTCCCTCTATTTAAACTCCTCTGCCACCATTTCTGCAATATTGCCACACAGAATCTTAATCAGAGTTCAGAAGCACAAGCCAAACTTAATTTCCTGCAACCAGAATTCCTTTCTTTCTCTTTTAGCTGACTCTATATCTACATTTATATAGTCCCAAACAAAATCTCACTTTTACTCATTCTTCCTGACTCCAAAGCCGCAAATTCATAGCATATTTCTGCCACCTTTTTGTAACTCTCCTCATTCTGCGCAGCAAATTAACTCACTGAGATTAGAAATATGAATAAGGCTTCTGCAGGTTCTTCTCCCTTGAAAGGAAAAAAGAAGAATCAGCCGCAACAGCAGCAACAGCAAGATGGAAACAACAACAGGTTTCTTGGAGTGAGGAGAAGGCCATGGGGCAGATATGCAGCTGAGATAAGAGACCCGACGACGAAAGAGAGGCACTGGCTGGGGACATTTGACACTGCAGAGGAAGCTGCCTTGGCGTATGACAGGGCAGCTCGCTCCATGAGGGGATCCAGGGCTCGCACCAATTTCGTCTACTCAGACATGCCTCCTGGTTCATCCCTTACCTGTATCGTCTCACCTGATGAAGAATCCCACGCCAACCATCATATTCTTCCTAACAATGTTTACAATCAAACCGGACAGCTCCTAAACTTTTCCGATTCTTTTTCACAACAGCAACAGCAGCTATATCATGACCACAGTCACCAGTTTTCATTCTTTGATGGCCAGCGCGATCACGCACACCATACTTCTGCAGACAGGAGCAGCTTGTACCAACAGGATACGGCTGGCTATGACGCTACCACTGCCATGATGATGAACAGCAGCAGCTTCAACATGTACGGCTCCAGCACTAACTTGAAGAAAAAAGAAACCAATAATGCTGAATTGCCTCCACTGCCACCTGATATTACTTCAACCTATTTTGGGACTTCAAATGAGCCGCCCCTACTTTCAGATGTGGGGTGTGATATTCTCAATGGCATGAGTTTTCTTGAGTTGTCGGAGGGTGGCCGCCCAAGTTTCAGCGGATCACCATCTGTTGATCCGTACGACAACCCTGTCATTAGTTCTGCTACAGCAAATTACTCAGGGTTCAACACAGAGTCACCTGGAAGTTGTGATTTTGTGCATCAATCTTTTACTTCTCTTGGTTACGATTATGGTTATGGGGCTAGTGACGCGTCCACCACCAGCGACTTGTCCAGCTTGCCATGGTTTTGAGTTTTGGTCTTTTGCATCAATGATTTTGAGCTCCTGCTGCCTTTGTTTTCAGTGTTGTTTGGTCCATCCACTCAGTTTGCATAGTTTGCTCCTTGGGTTTCAGAAGCGTTATATCAACTCTGCTTGCTTGCATATTCCCCTTTTGAGGAGGGAACCGAAAACTTCTTTTCAATTTGTAAACAAAATACTCCTTCCGTCCCATAATTATTGTCCTGTTTGAGTTTTTATTTTTAGTTCAAATTGTACTAAAAGTGAAAACCCAAACTGGACAATAATTATGGGACGGAGGGAGTACTACAGAAACAGTTTCAGGTTGTGACCTAAGTATAGTGTATCATGTTCAATTGTAGAACTATCACAAATATTAATGAGAGTTTTTTATCTCTTTTTCCCCCCTCTTTTCATATTCTTTGTTTTGGAGAAAAAGGTAAGAAAAAACAGAAACGATTTAACTAGGGGTGAATTCCAAACGTACTACTGATAGAGAAACGACTCAGGGACTCCAGTCACAAAGGCTAAGCTGTTTGCCGCTAAATCATGTCTCAATTCAATCAGAAAATCACACAACACAGTAACTTCCGTCATAACCAGATCACTACCAAACAGTATCAAATACAAAATGAGTCTTCAATCACATTGCTCTTAATTTAAATCACGAGCAGTTAATGAAAAAGGAGCAAACTTGAGAAGAACATAATGAGCGAAATGATTGCATATCTAGATTGGATTGAATGGAACCAGATACAACTCCAGAGAATCAGAAAGAACATTATGCATAAGCATCAGTAGGGGCTGTGGCGGCCATTATAGACGTCACCGCACATACAATGCCCCTTTGTTATCACTGCTTTAAATTTGAGAAGAGAACATCATTAAGTCAAAAGACCAATACACAAAACAATATTTACACTAAGTACGTTCTTCTTTACTATTATGAATCAGGCTGCTCAGATTTCAACGGTGGACAAGATGATGATACACCATTCCCATTCTGAAGATACAAACTGTTTGCCACAAGAGAGTCACTAACCAAGCCAACATCGACATCATCAAAATTCAGTGCGCCCCGAAGCTTCCGATTACTGTAAAAGAATTGGAAAAGAATAAACTCAGTCTTCCTTAAATTCCTTTCATATGTCAAGAAACTTACTAGAGATTGTTACACATACCCATTCAAGCGATTGTTAATTGCAGTCAAGTCTTTTGAGGGGCTCTGGTATGCATGCGTACTTTCTCCTACACAAGCATAGTAACTTTTGGAGGTATGTGATATCAAAGCATCCCTCTGCACGAATAATCCAATTCTATGTCAACAAACACAGACCACTAACTCAACAAGGCAACATAATAGATTAAAAACTACTTATTCTGCACACATGTGCTGCAACTTAAGCATCACAATTGACCTGCTCATGCTAAATTAGGTATTCCCAGAAATAATACCTTAGATGATCTCAGGGGAGACACATATACATTATGCACTGCAGAGACTTTCTTTGGTGACATGTCAGGAAGACTTGGAAATGATGAAGCCTTTGGAGAAGTAGGGCATTGACCTACATAACATGCAACAAATTAGTTAAGGTCAGAGCCATTCTCCAAGGGAAATTGAAAATCAAAGGATACATTCATTATTTTTAACATTTCATTGAAAAGGAAAAGTTTCACTGCAGAAAAGCATGTGACGTTGATTACCATCATTATCATTAGTAGCTGTAGCACTGTGGTTATCTGTATGAACTGCTCCAGCTGGGGAGAGCTCTACTAGAAGAGGTTTAACAGAAGGAACAAATACTTCATTGTAAAATGTAATGATGTCAACATGATCTTGCCCAGTTTTCTGTCGCAAAGACAATGAAAAAGCTTACACCATTTGGAAAAAAGACTTGGGAGAAAAAAGAAAAAAAAAGAAAAAGAAAAAGAGAGAACTGCAACATACCCCAGTGCGGCGCGTTGTTGACCAGTCAATAAAAACACCGCGGAAGACTTGTGGCTTGCAATGTGGTTGTTTTCTATAGTTGAATACGATTTCCTTAAAGGTAATGTTGAGATTTGAAATCTGCATGCAAAAACATATTAATGTCAACAGCTATAGAATATTAGAGTGGAATCCTTCAATTTATCTAGGCCAATCTGTATTACCTTAGCAACTCCATAGAAACAACAGAGGATAATTTGGTCGATGTGGCGGTTAAAGAAAAGGGACGTCTGCTGGCTAAGAATTTTCTGAAAGAAACAATAAACAGTCTCCCTGATCTGCTGAGACAGCTGAAGTCTCTCCACCATACCATTAATTCTGACAGCCGCTAACTTTACAATCTAGACAAGTTGATTTCAAATTAATTATAGAACAAAAGGCAAACATTAAACAGCCCCAAAGAGCATGAAACAATAAATATTTAGGATTGATAACATATGTGGAATTCAACTTAGCTTCAATATCAGCTAAAACTGAACTGGTCAAAGAAAAAGACAACCATGAAATACCTTTCCAAAGAATACACTGATTGCTGTCTCTGCACAAGTTTCCCCTCCACCACCAGGATTTGGCCGCGTAGGGCTGCATAGACATAATCAATGATACAGTAACCAAATACATAAAAACAAAATAAAATCTTATCTTGTTAGCACATAGAAATGATCTCGTAATATTAGTAAGTATACCTGGCAAATGCAGACTGCAAAGCTGGAGATGGAAACTTTGATTTCAGATTGTTAAGGGCCATTAGCCGATCTTTCACGGGTGAAGTGAAGGAATTTCGTTCTACCAGCACACTACGAAGCTCAGTGCAGAGTCTTTTAGGTGAACGGATATCTCCATTCAGAACTGCAATCATTGATTTAAACATGTCATCCGTGGGGAGAAAAAAAACATAATCAGTATATGGGATTTCAAGAAAAGCTTGGAAGACAGTACTCCTCTTCACACATAATTAGTGCCAAAACAAATTCATATAAAACGGAAACTCCAGAAATGAGACTCGTGAAGAGAAGTTATAAAAGGATTGATTACCAGGTGCACCAGGGACAGTTTCATTCTTCGGTATTGATGAAACAGAGGACATATTAATGTGCATTGCAATTGCATCCAAAGATGGCATTGGCTCTGCCAATAATCCAAGTCGGTTTATTTCTGCAGAAAGAGCTGGTCTTGCAACGGTCAGGGAGTTGTACATAGAAGAGCCCTTCTCCCATACCATACTTTCCAAAAGTCGCTCTTCCAAGGAATTTAGATGCCTTCTTAACTCCCTAGGGAGACTTTCTTCATGTCTAATAAAACTCTCTATCACCTTGCTAAGATCAAAAGCTGTAATACCAGTTCTTTCCAAAACTGCTGGAAATAACATTGTTGCTGTCTTATGTGTAGCAAGGACTAACTCTGCAGAACAAGCAAGCATACACCTGTGGAACCTCTCATTGGTTAGCAAAGAGGTCAAGTTGTTTGCATGCAGAATTTGAGACTCTGCCACACACATAGCAAGCAGGACCCGGTAGTACAATTTCAGAGCCTCAATCCTGCGATGCTCCGCCCATACATTATCCATCAAGCTTGTCATTTGAGGCCCTCCAGCAGAAGCATATTCTCCTGGACCATAACTTGGAAATATAGCCTCCAGTATTATCTGCGCTCTCCTGACAACATCACCAGTTACATCTCTGTCACAAGATGAAAGAAACTTCTCCAGCTCCGGAGACGGTTTTGATGGAAGTGGAGCTATGACCGCACGAAGCCATTTTGCAGTAGTCATCGCGGTGCTTACGGGAGTAGCTGCCATCCTTTGACTGCCACCTCCAGCAGTAGCATTCGTATGAGATGCAGAAGGAGAACGGAAAGGAGACAGTGGGCTTGTGATTGTTTTTGCTGGTGATGCCATCATATCAATCTTCCTCTATGCATTAGAGAGAGGCAAAGCAAAGAACTCATAAATAACATGTATAATTTCTTTTAACAAAATGTAATCAATTAAGCAAAAGACACACCTTGCTACCACTCAAATTAACTGCGCCACCACTCAAATTAACTGCGCCGCCAGACAAACTCCCAGACCCAAGCAAGCTATCCTCTTCTTTAACAAAAATTCTTTCATCGATTTCAACTTTATCATGAAGTGCATCATCATGATCTTTTTCTAGTATTCTCAGACAAGAAGATAGGGACGGCTCTTCCATAAGATCATCAAAATAGACCAACCCATCTGCAATCAGAAACAGCAAGGATATTAGCAACAGCACAACCCAACAATGCCCCATATTCAGATGAAATGGTCAATACGGTTCGACACTTCACCTGTATCAATATTGTCCAGAGATTCCTTTTTGCACTCTGATGCTGGTTGAGACTTCATCTTCAGCAGCTGAACTATAAGCTGATTTGTTTTCTCCAAGGTTGTCTTCAACTCAACTTCTGACGTCTCATATGATTTGCAGAGCGATGCAATTATATCTACCTTATCACCTTTCCTAACTTAAGAATACAATAACAACTTGCTAAGGACATGCAGTGGAACTCCAAAATAAAAGAATTTACAAAAGGGGCATAGAAGAGAGAATTACCAAAGCGTGAGGAATCATTGATACTGAACTTCCGGAAGCGAATAGGAACGTGTGTGATCAGAATCGCCTGAAAAAAGAGGAAGTATCAGAAAATAAAACTCTGCATTTCATAATCGTAAGTGTTTGCATTGGTACACCAATCTATAAAGCATGAGAAGCCAAATTTGTCATGCCAAACTTCTTCCAGAGAATTTTTGTGGTATGATCCTATTCGTTCAAAAATGCTCAGACGCATGGACAATAATAAGAAATGAATCGTCGGTAAATGAACTGACCAATATCGATACTAAACCAGTGGTATCGGTCACCACAGTCTTAACAGGGCCGAACACATGGACACGAAGTGCAAGAAACAGCAGCCACCCAAAACGATGATAGTCCGTGCAGTCCAGCGGATTGGTGACGGCAGAGTCCTTGTCACTGACATCATTTGTCTCGAACAATTCTCGGAAGGCTCGCTTGTAGAACCTTTTCATCACAAAAGCGACAATCACATAAAGCTTAAAGTTGGAAACAAAAGAAATAGAAAAACCTAAACCCAGAAAAAGAAAAACAAAACAAAACATAAAAAACACCATTCAAAATGCAAAAGGTAATTCAGAAGACATGACAGAAACACATATACACCCACCCGCGCACACACACGCAGTCTTCTCTGTCTCTCTCAAAAGAAGAAAGGGAGTACTGAATAAATAATTGCATGAACATTAAAAAAAAAATGATGCTTGCGGTTCAAATGCAGCAGATAGACTGCACACAATGTATAGAAGGTTTGCAAATAAGGAGAATCCAGATAGATGAACCGAATTCAGAACAACTAGTAAATTGCTATTCTACAAACAAGATATCAAAGGCATCATAAGTGAAGCCATCATGTCAACAGAAGAATAGAACTTCATTATCATAATATTCACTATGCGCACTGAGAACAGAAATAAACTAAAGAACACTTACTTGCTCAATACTTGCAAGTGTACAAAGTTTGCCTGCAATTCCTTTGCCTGAGATCAATGACAAAAGAATATAAGTGGCAAAATTCAAGCTTGGAACAATATATCTATAGTAGAAAGCAGAAATTTCAAAGACAAAGTGACTATATAGAGTACCTTGAACTTTTTCTCCCAATCCACTCCGTATACATTAGCTAAAATAGGCCCAACTTTAAGAATAAACTGAGAAAGTTCTTTGAAAAAATCAACAAAGCTGCAAAAGGAGAAAGGATTGATAAAAATAAAAATAAGAAATTCGAAAAAAAAAAATCAGCGGGAAAAAAAGGGGCAGAAAGTGGTGGTGGTGAGAAAGCCATACTTGAGCTTGGCCAGTCTTAATATGTGACACAAAGTGAAGGTATTGTTATTTTCACTGGAATTATGTGGTGCTTCCCTCGAACTCAACCTCTTAACAGAGAAAAGTACAAAGGCAAACCAGTATCGTTCAGCTTCTTCAAGAAGACCAGTCCCAATATTGGAAGCACTGCTTAACAAAAGATGCTTGCTTTCTCTGAATAACTTGAGGGCTTCGCTCTTTGTGCAATCATCCTCCATTGACAACGTGCTCTGTTCCCACAAAACCAACCAATTAAAACGAAAACAACAAAAAAATAAAGCTGCAGCAGAAACCCTAGAAAGCAAAATGAAGGGGGGAAATTAAAAAAACGAAACCGAACCTTGCAGAAATCATTAAATCGAGCCTCGATACCATCAATTTCTTCTTCTTTTACCGGAGGATTGGAAGAAGAAGAAGTAGAGGCAGTGGAAACTCTGGGAGGAGTGGAAGGTTTCATCTCCTTGACGTCTTCCTCCATCTCCATTACGATTATGTAATTATTTATAGATCTGATTAGAGATTTGGCGAAACCCTAGCAGGGAGAAGCAAGAAGAAATGGATAAAGCACGCGACAAGAATGCTGAAGGACGCTCCCGGCGCGGAGTAGAGGAACTTTCAAGAAAAGCGTTTTTCAGAAACGGTGATTTGGGGGGATTCCGGAACCTCACACAAGACTTGTTTTCAGTGAAGACGAAAACCAATCTTCTTCTTCTTCCTTTATTTTCCCTCCCTTTTTTCTCTCTCTAATTTTTCCCCCTTTCTGTTACTTTTACCTACTTGCCTAATCTTTCGTTAAAACAACGGAAATTAAAAATAAAAAATAAAAAAATACTAGTAGTATTTTTACAGAGAACATATAATTTAACCCCTCAATTAATTACTGCGAGCTACGGTAACGGGAAGCGATTCATTTTTAGGGATTTACGACTCTGCCGAATGGGGCCCGCGGTGCTGGCGTATGCAGTTTTGGTCGCGCGGGAAAAAAAGAAAAAAAGAGATAAGAGTCATCACATCACATCCTTCAAGTATATCATGTACGGATATCGACCATACATCATAGGGAACAGCCTATAGCATTTTGACGCGTGTATTGCCCGCCAAAAAGTACCTTCCCCTCCCGCTCCTTCAGCTTCTACGGTCGGGGGGAATTTGGGATTCCTAAACAGAACGGGTGTATCTCAATCCTTCCTATACACAATCCAGGAGTCCAGTTCACTCAAGAGTCCTTTTTTCAGAAAAGAAGCAAATTCTTCCGTAATCAATTGCTAGGGATAAATGTAATGTCAAGAAAATACTACTACTAAATAAACGGATATACATTATAAAAAGAACAGATACATAGAGTGATAAACCCCAAGGCAAAGAAAAAAAAAAAAAAAAAAATGAGACCCTTACCCAATGTAATCGGATTTAATCCATGAATTGATGAAATTCATCCACTGGAAAAAGAGATAGAACAAAATAAAACTGATTCTATACGTACGGGCCAGTAGATCGTACACTTATTCCATGGGCTATGTCCTGAAAACGTCGAATAGAAGGTATTTGGACTGTTACAGTACTACTATTGTAAAGTAGGCCAATGAGCCTATATTTTGTGTCATGTAACCAGTTTCACTCTCTTTTTTATCATTATATATCAGTGGGAAACAAAACAGTACACTTGTAGAAGATTGCCCAAATTGCAATTTGTGACATAGTAATTGGTTGAGTTGAGGCCTTGAGGGAAATGTTTTTCCCCTAGCAACCTTTTATTTCTTCTTGGTTCATTTTATTGATTTGGTGTCGAAAAATAAACCCAAACACACTCACATAGATAGGCCATGTCAATTTTTTGACCAGTGGAAACCACTGTACTTCCACACTTCACTAAGTGCAAACAAACAAATGGTTAAACAGTCTTATACCATCTAATCAAGTGTGTTAAACTTCAAATACTGTCAATGCCGATGCATTATTTTTGTTGTCGACTGTAAACAAAATATCCCAAAAATTGTAAATGTAAAGCCATGTACCCAATGGGACGTCAGCAAGTAGCCACTCGTGTGGGGCTCCAAATACAGACGGGGAAACCGACTAAATTTATATTTTATTACCACGAGTAGCTGTGGCAGTAAGGACACGCCGGCATCCCATTTCCCAGTCCCAGATAGCCAGCATGAAAAAGCCTATTAAAGAGGTGTTGTAGAAATTAACAACAACATTGAAGTAACCGCTGAAGCCAATCCCCACCAATATCAATGCTTTTGTTTCTTTCTCTGCTTTCGTCTTTTCGCAAATCCCCATCCTCAGGAGTCCACGACCCTTGTTTTCCTCATTTCCTCCTCTGTGATTCTGGCCTTTCCCCCGATGGACCAACTCAACAGTGAGAGCACAGGTAGTAGTAATGACTTGTTTAGATTCCGGCTGCGGCGATCTCGGTCACAGCACCAAGTCCTCCGCCGGCAGCCGTCCAATTCTATACTCAGGCCAGCATGGTGGAAGTTCCTCTTACTCTTGGCAGCCTTCATGTTGGTGCTTCTACCCTCGAAGATGCGACTCATTTCCCGGAGACCGTTTGAATTGGAATCAGAGAGAACTCCTCACTTGGTGGCGGTGGTGGACGTTCTTTCTGACAACCGCACGCGGCCAGGCTTCCGGTCGCCTGTCCAATCAGGAGAATCTGCAGCAGCTATTGGCCAAGCTAATTTGAATCATGTTTCAAGCGGAGGAAGCTCAGCTCCAGCTTCTGCGCCACCCAAATCTACTGCCAATGTCACCGCCGGCAGCGGACCTTACCACGACTGGGCACTTTTCTCGGCCGATTATAAAGAAATGATGAGCAATCTCAGAATCTTCGTGTACCCTGAAGCTGCCCCAACTGCACCCCCTTCGCCATTTCACAGCATCTTCCTCCCGCAACCAGAAGCATTCAAGAACCCGAAACTAGGGAATTATTTCAGTGAACATGCCTTCAAGGTGGCTCTTCTTCGCAGTCCACTAGTTACCAAACATCCGGACCAGGCTAATTTCTTCTACATGCCTTTCTCTATCAATGCCATGCGTAATCATCCCCAAGTGCATTCGGCTTCATCCATTTCCGATTTCATTGCCCAGTACACCACCAATGTTAGTTCCCGATTCCCTTATTGGAATGCCTCTGGAGGTGCTGATCACTTTTATGTCTACTGTCATTCCATTGGCCGGGAAGCCGCCTCCAAACACCGTGCTCTGCACAACAATGCTATTCAAATCACCTGCTCATCCAGCTATTTCCAGAGGCTGTATACTACCCACAAGGACATTGCATTACCCCAAATATGGCCTCGCCAACAGGAGCAGGACCTGGCTTCATGCCAACCACCTGAGTTCAACAGCAGGAATAAACTCATTTTCTTTGCTGGGCGAGCGCAAAATTCCCTAATCCGACAGAGGATACTGGATGCATGGAGCAATGACACATCACTAGCCGTATCATCTGGTGTTGGTTCTTCCCTTCAATATGAGGAAGGCTTCAAAAGAAGTAAATTCTGCCTTCACATCAAAGGCTATGAGGTCAACACAGCAAGAATCAGCGATGCTATACACTATGGCTGCATTCCAGTTCTAATTTCCAACTACTACGACCTTCCACTCGCAGACGTACTGGATTGGAAAGAGTTCTCCATTGTCATCCAGGAAGCAGATTTCAAACAGCTGAAACAGATATTGCTATCCATATCACAACAAAGGTACCAAAGACTGTACAGCAATCTCTGCCTCATTAGAAAACACTTTACATGGCACGCTACTCCAACAAGTTTCGACGCCTTTTACATGACAGCATACCAACTATGGCTGAGACGAGGTTTAATCCGACTAACTAAATGAATGCAAAGGCATATTTCTCAGGCAGAGAACAACCATAATTCACACAAGGTAATTCACAAGGGCAGTAGGCATCAAAGTAGTACAGTAGATACATCAGTATAGAAATTTTCTTGTACTTTTATTACAAATTAAAACAAACTTGCATTCTGTTTCTTCAGTATAAAGTAGCATCAGCTTATTATCTGCTTAATTACAATGAAATATCACAATCGCCTAATATACAACACATGTAGCCCTCATATGTCCTTGAGATGAAATAAGCCATACATTGTCTCTATAAACATCAAATGGCGTGTTCAGCAGGCTGTGAATGGTATCCCCGCCGCCTAAGCTGTGACTGAGGAGTGGGCTGCTGCAGGAATATCCTTGTCGGATCATTCGGGTCGACATAACTACACAGAAAAAATCGTGTCAGGAGCTATATGTCACTCAATTTCAACCAAACACGAAAAAATCACCAATAATACTTACGCATGTCTCATCATCTCATCAACTGGAGTCTGTGCAGCTTGCATGGGATCCATACGAGGTTCTGCTCTTGCTGCCTGTTGGTTAAACTGTCTCACTGATCCGATAAGGTTGAAGAACAAGGGTATGAAAGTTCCACAACCACCTTCTTTAAACAAAATCTTGAACGAGTGAGGTGAATATAATGCCCTGTGATCATTTTCTGGTACAACCTACATCAAGAAAAACCAAAAAGGAAACAAGTTTAAGAAAAAAAGAGGAAGAACAGCATACGAGGAGGCACAAGTCATTAATCAGCATCAAGTTGAACTTACAGGGTCCACCGTTCCAGATATATTGTTGCAGAAGAATATTGGTTGGTTAAACTTTTCACCGTGAATGTAAAGCTGCAGAGGTGAACAAAAGCCAGAGTTAGGTAATGCTCATAAATATCTTGCAAACTCCAACACAGTGCAGCCAGCTAAAAGGGTTCAGAAACTCAGAAGGATTACAAATCCTAATCATGAGACCTTTGTTAAATAACTGACATATGCACTTTTTATTTCAAGATAGTGTTAACAAAAACAAGACCCACAGGAATGTCGTCAAGCAATCTGCCATTGCTTCACATTTGAAATTTTAAATCATAGCAAAATAGAAATTCAAGCACTCACTTCCCAAAAAAGCAAAACAAGTTAATTTTACAGTACAAGCAAGATTTTAGAGCAAATAGAACCCTTACTACTTTCTCTTACATCACGTTCATTCTCCTTCATTCACATACCGCCAAAATAATGAAGATTTTAAGTTTGAAAACCTCCATTCCCAACTTTGAGGTTAATCGCAGGACAATCTATAAATAGTTAAGTGGCATAACACAACAAGTAAAGCAAGGTTGAAACATAACAAAGAACTAACTTACCAGGGGCATATCAAAAGCAACAAAGTCCGCAACAGGCTTACTTGCAACAAAAACCATCCGTATGTTAGACAAGTAGATTATACCCTTTGCTTTCAGATGCCCTCCTTGAGCTCTGAGATAAACAGAAAGAAGAGAGAATTAGTATAAGTAATTAATAATCAAACAGCACATAGCAATATTCAGGAAACACCAAATCACTGTCGACAAAGAGTCCCATAAATTGGCAACCATTTTCAAAAAATAATACCAAACTTTAAACAACAATATGCTCTGGAAAAATCGGAACAACCTTTCAGGCCTAAAGTCTGTTAGGTGAGCACACCGTTTATTCATTTTGCTGCTTACTTCTCAGTAACTTCATATACTCCATTTATAGCATTTAACATTTTTAATACTACATATTCCCTCCAAATTCATGGTAATCTTTCCAAACGGGAGAACCAAAGTTTCTCCATTGACTGATGAAGGCAAACAACAGAATCAAAAGCAGAATATTTGTGCATACAAGACTCTGCCTCCCCCCCCCCCCTGAGTACTGAGACATGCCGAGGGATAAAATTTACTTTTTTTTTAATCAATCTTATGTGGATACCAAATGAGAAATAGAACAAGTTCGGCCACAAATTGTTAACTACAAGATATGGCTTCTACTTTGATACTGGAGTTCCACCTGAGCATTAGAAATCTTGAGCAATGCTGCTGCTAAGTATCTCTTTCCCAATTTAATTACAATATCGAAACAAGTACAATTATGAGAATAACGATTGTTCCCCAAGAGGGGTACGAGCAAATATTGCATAATCCCTAAGATTGCAATGATCGAAACACAGCAACAAAATAAGAACAAAATAGATGAGAAATTAAAAGAAAGGATGGATTACGATTAATATTCTGAACCGAGCAAGAGAGCAATTTGATTTCATAACTCCCATAAAAAAAAAATAACCAGACGACACGAAACAAGGTAGGAAGGAAGAGAAAGGGGTTTAATTTACTAACCCGGGGATCTTATCAATTTCAAACTCCACGCCATCCCTTGCCAATACAAACATCTCGTTCACAAAAGGCACCGGCATCCCGTTCGGAAACAGTTGCGGATTCAGAGCCATCTTTTTAGTGATTTTCTTTCTGTTCACCCAAATTCCGGTGGTTTTCGACGGCAGTTTTCCGTTGACGACGTTGATCGTGAAACCCAAAAGAGAAATATAATGAGGAGGAGATGGGATTTCTTTGGAGGTTTATTCCAGACGCAATTTGGTTTGTTACAATCTCATGCCACGTTGGCACATTCCAGATTTTCATAGTCTCTTCTGGTTCTGGACTTGTGCCTGGGTTTTAAATGCCTAAGGCCCAACCTACGATACGTTATTCACCACGCAAGCCCATACTTGCAGATCTTAGTTTTGAATTGGGCTTGGGAAACAGAAAAGAGAAAACCATGGTCTTTATTGCACTTTCGCAATCTCGCCAAAAGCTATACATATTGGTGTTCATACCCAAAATTGGGGTTTACGACACTGTGCTACTACTACTAATAGGAAAAATTGGTGTTCATACCCAAAATTTTAGATCTATCGTCAATTCTACCCTATTAATTTTTTATTAATCAATTTTATTTTTACTGTTTGAAATTTTTGTCAATTCCACTCAATTGGCCTAATTTCTGTTAAACTTAACGTATTTTCGTTAGTTTTTAACCAAAAAACCCTGATAGTTTCACAAAACTGTAAAAAGAACCTTAAAAATATAAAAATAACAAAGTAGTCCCTTTTTATTCATTTTTTTCTATTTATTTTATTTCTCTTTATTAATTTTCATAACCATAAAAACATACCATATGATCTTTAAGAAAATAATTATTTATTTTCACAATCTATTTTTCATGTGCAGTACATGTGATTTGGGTTGAGGAGTAATTTTATTATTTTAAATTTTTAAAATTTTAATTTTTTTTATTCGTCTTTTTTTTAGAGTTTTTTCTTTATATTCCTGACTTGTAGATATGGATAGTAGAATAATTATTAAATTTCCGTTAATTTTAACGAAATTGGGCTAATTGGACAGAATTAACAAAAATTTAAAATTAGGATAAAATTGACTAATCAGAAATCAATAGGGTAAAATTAACGATGAGCCCAAAGCTTTGGATATAAACGCCAATTTTTCCACTACTAATAACACTGCAAAAAATATTAAAATAACATGTAGAAAAAATAGCAAGGATTATAGAACAATATTATTTTGTTATTTTATTCATTGGAAAAGTATACTTAAAAGGTTCAAGAGACGGTAAATTAAATCAGAGGATGGATTCTGTAATTTCATTTCCGTGAAACTAAACCAACTCGAACCTTTAACACAACAAATGATGATGGTTTCTTGATGTTCATGGGTAACAAAATTTTCACGAACACAAGAATCTATCATGTATCATCATCGAACCAAATGAGCTAAGACAAGAAGTAGGACTACCCTATTATTCTAATATTCAAACGAAATGTTGGAAACCTGAACCATTCACTTGCTTTTGATCTTAGAAGGCCTTCGGGTACTTCCATCCGAATCCTTGGATGCAGAAGAAGTTTCAGAAGCTAAGATATTACTGGAATACTTTTTGATCCTCATAGATATGAGAACGCTCGAAACTATCCCAAGCAAAGGGAGAAGATAGGACCAAATTTGAGATTTCTTGGTGGCAGAGGATGGCGAGCCCGATGATGATGCAGAAGATACGGCAACACTGGCAAGACTGCCAATGGATGTATTTTGAAGTATCATGGGGAGACAACCAATGACTGTCGGGAGCAGGAAATCCACAAGGAACCGTACCTCTGTTGCAGCCAATGCATAGTTAATGACATATGATGGGATAGGTGAGAATCGGGCTAGAAGGACAAATTTCCATCCATCTTGTGCAACCCCGTGGGAGAGCAGATTGAAGTACTTATTCTTGCGAGCCCAGTCAGAAGTTGAGCTAGAAATCCTGAATAAAAACCTAACCAAAAGCAGAGATATTACTGAAAGCAATCAAGCAACTAGATAGTGACACTATTCCTCAAACTACTGATCCGTCAGCCAGATAGAGCAGTATACATAACAGGATCTTTTAATTTTTGCAGTACCAAAGTTACCACTCATATTTTATTTTCTGCATCAATGACTCCACCTGGTCCTACTTTTTATCAACTTAGCTTGGTGTTGCACATCATACATCAAGACTGGAGAGAGTACAACTGTCGGCTAGACTATACCATATCGAATGGACCTTGAGAGGAAATAAGATTATTGAGCTCAAGTTTGTTGGCTTTCAAGCTCATGTCTTTATAGCATCTAGCTTCAACAAAAACACTACTGAAATACTTGCGTTTAACTTGGTGTTATACACCCTATGAATAAACCAAATTTGTGATAATGCACATCAGGGTTCATCCCAGAATCAAGGAGACCTCATAATGCAAGCATGCTAGAAAGCAAAATCTATTTATTGACATTGCCTTAAATCTATTCAACTCTTTTCCAATACCCTTAGCAATCAATATCTCAACAAAAATCAAAAAGACCGTTCGCCCATTTTAGTTCATATCATTATCTTGACAATTAAATAGATACGAAAATGCAAAGATGAAACGATGACAAATAAGACTAGATTATCCGATATTGATGTAAAAGCTTAGTCGTTAGGAAAAAGACAAAGAAGCATATTTGGAAAGGCTGGAAAGAAAAGAGTAAAAATTAAGGAAGGAAAATAAAAGTACCTGCCGATCCAGAAAGAAAGCGAAGCCCCCAAGATCTTGGCAGAAAAGACACATAAGACGGCGGGGACGAATCCGAAAAGCATCGACGCGCCGGCCTCGAAAAACACCGCGTACGGCAGACACAGCGCTAAAGTGAGAGTGTGGACGCCAATATAGGCCGGCATAGCCCAAATCCCCAACCGATCAGAAATGTCCCGGAACCATTGAAGAGCAGCGTCGTTGTCCCACCCTAATCCCACAATCCCCAGCTGTTTCCCGACAGCTCTCAGCCCAATGATTACTCCCGCCGCCGCCGCCAGTTTCCCCCATGTTCCCCCCACCATTATCGGTTGTTCCCGGCTAACAAGCAGTAAAATCTAAATGGATACTTTTTCGGAACTATAGCTAGACTGATGAAAATGATACTGATTCCTTCATCGTCGAAAAATCCTTGCTTGATTTCTGAATTTTGATGACCTTACCCCACCAACGGAAAGTTCAAACTACGCTTCCTGCCGATAATAAAGGAAAAATTTAGGAATCTAATCGGACGGTGTCACTGCTAAAAACTGGATATTTCGAAACATTGACTGATTTGGTCCCTTACATTTCCCCGAATGTGTTAAAAAGACCTTTTCAATTTTATTTTGTTTAATTAATAGGGAAAATTTTCATAAAGGGCATGATTAAGATAAAAATTATTAAGGAGGGCATCAGTTTTATAAATTCAATATTGTGAATATTTAAATAGTTCTAATAATGTTTTGACTCAAATAAGACTATTTTATCCTCGTCTTCCTAAAAGAATGGAAGAGAATTTGCTCTTCTTCATCAATCCATCAAAACTTCAATTTTGAATCTTACATATATAGGCCTCCGTGTTCTCATATTCATTCGACTTGATCATCCACTTTTCGTAATCCTCCCCTAAAAGTCTTATGAACTCTCAATAAAGTCCTAATTCTTCATAATTCGATATTGCGGTGGATTTCGGAACTCCATTTCAGTTTTGAATTTAGTGACAATTCTGATCACAATTCTGAATCTTAGTGACAATTTAGGTTTTGAATGAGGTTCTGGGTACTTTAATCGCAAATGAATGATGCCCTATACATAATCATTCACCGCGGTTTCATGTAGCAATTAGGGCTAGAACTTTGATATCTCTCTCTTTTCTTTTCTTTTTTTTTCTGTGTTTAAGCGGTGTAATATAATTATGTTTAAATCAATCTTCCAAGTTGACAACTATGATCCCAGGTACTTTGAAGTCTTTAGTTCTTTAGTACATAAACGTATACTTATATCCACGAAAGTAGTTATTGATGGAGAGGATTGTCCCTTCAATTTGTTTTGTCGCTGGGGAATGAACTTGGTCCCAAAAAAGTCTTGTTGTGCCCAACCTTAGCATTGGAGCAAATAAACTCTTTGAAATCATTGCTGAATTTTAAGAATGCGAATTATGAGATTGCAAGCAGATAAATGGAAGAGAAAGGATAAAATAGTCATTCGAAAAATAGAAAATATGAAAATAATTTAATATTTATTATAATGAATAAATAGAGGCTTACGCCCTTCTTAATAATTTGCATCTTTCTCGTGTCCTTAATAATAATTTTCCCTATAATTATACTAGTATTCTGATAGCCTCCAACCATGATTTCACATTAGACGTTCAATCTTCTAGCTACTGAAAAATCACGAGACAAATTACAGTTAAGAAAGCCAAATAATCCCTGCAAAATTTAACTCGTAAAAAAAAATATCTTCATACTGTATATCACTTTATCATCGAAACATGTTACAAATATTCCAAACTAAACCTCCACAAATTACATACACGCGCGATAATTCCCAAATTAGTCACATTAAGGACTTTATTTTTCAAAGTATTTTTAAACCCTTTATGTTTTGAGCAAAAAATAACACCGCCATACTCGACGTATTTTGATGATAAATAGTCACACATGTTTACTTATTTCTCATTTTAATTTCATTAATCATAAATCAAAAAGTTCAATATTATATTTAAGCATACTAATATAATGTTTGATTCATCAGTGACCAGTGACCACTGAATTTCCTACTTGAAAGAAATTGCCAGAGAGCTAGTTATTACTTTATTGTTTTTTTTTTTTTTATGAAAGTTGAATTTCATTCCACTGGAATATGAATTAGGCACAATCACCGATTTTTCCAAAATATCTCTACACGACGCGTACTTACTTTCGAACAAATGCTCGTTTTAGTCGATAATTTATTGGGGGTAGCCCAACCCAGTCACCACAAACATTTCGTCTATGCTTTTAGTTCCTTAATATCTTTTCCTGCCCGATTTTGGTCTTTTTAAAAGATTTTTGCAGCAATTGATGGAAATTTCAGACATCCGCTAAACTCTTATTATTTTATTCATTTCCTACTGAAAGTGGGTCCCACAGCATTTGGCCCAAAAAAAAATGACATTTTCTTTTCGTTTTTTTTTTACTTCCTTTTTCATACTCCTTCCACGGTAATTTTTCTCTCTCTCTTCAACCCCCTTGGGCTTCAAGCTTTCAACGCTTCACTGCTGACGCCAATCTTTCTACCCATCCCTACGATCATTAATCCATTGCTGAAAATTTTTGCATTTTCTAATATTTAATTGTTGGTTTCGAAGTGATGAGTGTTGCGTTCTTGTCAATTTTGTGTATGGAGATAGTTTCAAAGTGATCAGTACTCCAATATTTCAACCATCTTCACTGGCAGGAGTTTACTCATAATTAACCTTAGAAAGAGCAGGGAGTTGGTGGATATGAGTTCTTGAGGAGGTTTTAACTGTTGAGCCATCTTTTGATGTGGTAATTTTTTTAATTTTTATTTTTTGGCAATTGTAGTTGAATAATGACGGAGTGTTTGTTCTGTCGATTTCTTTTGGCCATTTCCATTCCGGCCTACCAATTACCGGAGAGCTCATTCCGAGGTCAACTTCAGGCTGTCGGAGGATTTAGATCTACTGTCTGACCCCTTTGATGTGCCTGTCGGGACTAGTTTTGACGAGATGGGATTCGAGGATGATCTCTTCTCTACGCACTTGGACATCGAGAAACTTGGGGGATCTAATTCCAATTCTAATATGATGATTGATGATGACAATGCCGGCGACGGTGGTGGAGCTTTCTGGAGAATGAGCTTTACTTTCTTTTCCTCTCAATTTTTTTCCTTAAAAAAAAATTTCCATTTTGGGCCAAATATCACGGGACCAACTTTCATTAAGAAAAGGCTAAAAAAATTTGTTTTCCAGGTTCCATCATCGTTGTTGGATGTGGGAGTTGTTCCAGATGGGAGTTCGATGTTCGAAATTTCGTACCCATTTGGGCAAAGTTTGAGCAGTAGCATTGATTTGGGTGGTGGAGCATCATCTCGAAGTAGTAATCAAGGAGTTGATTTGGACAGAAAAACGAGAGTTTTAAGGTACAAAGAGAAAAGGAAGAATTGGAGAAAGGCTGAAATTTTTATTTTTTTTTCACGGTCAACACATGCGGGACCCACCCCTTGCAGGAAACGAATAAAAAATTCAGACATTAACGGAGGAGTTAAAATTTCTGTCTATTACTGCCAAAATCTTTTAAAAAGACCAAAATCAGGTAGAAAAAAATATTAAAGGACTAAAATCGGAGACTAAAAGTTTGTGGTGACTGGATTGGGCTACCCCCATTACATTAGGGACCAAAACGGGCATTTGTCCTTTACTTTCTACCACTTTAATTAATATAAGCAAAAGATCACCATATAGAATAGCAAAACCTAGAATTTCGGACAGATTTTCATCATATTATACTAACGCTTGTTCTTGAAAGTATTCTTTGTTTTTGTTATCTTAGACATATTCATTTTCAATGAGAATGGGATACTCTAGATTATATTTAAGCATAATAATATAATGTTTGATTCATCAATGACCAGTGACCAGTGACCAGTGATCACTGAATTTCCTACTTGAAAGAAATTGCCAGAGCTAGTTATTACTTTATTGATCTTTTTTTTTTTATGAAAGTTGAATTTCATTCCACTGGAATATGAATTAGGTACAATCACCAATTTTTTCAAATATCACTACACGAAGGGTATTTACTTTCTACCACTATAATTAATATAAGCAAAAGATCACCACATAGAATAGCAAAATCTAGAATCTCGGGTAGATTTTCATCATATTATACCAACACTTGTTCTTGAAAGTATTCTTCATTTTTGTTATCTTTGATAGATTCATTTTCAATGAGAATGAGATACTCTGGATCACCTCTGCTTCAGAGACTCCTTTTTGGCAAACAATAACCTGAGTTCTCACCTCCCAAATATAATATCGCAATTGCTACCGCTCCTCTAGTAATACCATCACGTATAGAGTTTGAGCCATATTTCTCTAACAACTCTCTCCTAAAGGATAGTCAGTAGAATGACAAGATCTCTGCATGCCAATGGAATGACAAGATTTTTGCACCAACCAAACCATGGCTCTGGTGATAATCTGAATGGAGAATAAACATTCAATAAAAATATGCTCCACATTTCCCTCCTCACTGGGAAAGGTTTTAAAACCAATCCACTGAATTCTCTAATGAGGTCGTAACACCCCGAGAATCACCAGCATGTTAAAGTTTAAATATTTTTCTTTTCGTTTTAAAAGCCAAAGTGAAAGACAAGTCAGGCTAATAACACCGAGATTTCCGTCATGCTCACACTTAAGGCACATCTAACACTTAATTGCGCAACAGAAGATTATATAAAACTAAACTTTTATTAAAAGAAGGATAACACCTCAACTTCAGTCGGAAAATTATCTTATTCTATATTAGATCTTACTTTTACATAATATTAGAATACATGCTCTTAACAATAACATTATTCAATCTACTTGGTATTCTAAACTCAAGTAGATGTATAAGCCATTTCAACTCCTACACAAATCGCCTGAAACATCGATTCGGTTCCTTCGATGATATACATTTCTTCATGTGTTCCTTGGAGGGGAAGAGAATAATATATACATATATAGGGGGTAAGCGCCGAGCTCAATGAAGTTCTCACTATACTACTACAATAATTTTAATAAAACAGTTTTAAAGAAAATATTACTCACTTGTAAAATAGTTTCACATAAAAACAATGAAACATATATACAATCAAAACACTTAACATTATCAAATAACAATAAGGTGGATACAGGATCGCGACAAGGACGTCAGGCCTATATGGTAGTGTAGATAGTGAACCAAGCCGGATAATAACTCTGAAACATTTAGCCCAAACATTAACTATTGTAACTCTTTTCCTTATGTCTCCCTTGGTACCAACTCTGGATGACTCATGATAATCATAACTCTAGCCAAGGTAATTAGCTATCCGACCAAGCCCGATGCTTGACTCGTTTAATTTCGCTAACCAAGGCAGGGCCTAACTCTTAACTCTTACATGCATAAATAATATATAAGGCGATAAAGTACACCACCGAATTACAGTTAACAATAACATCGCAAACTCACACGTAACAATAACATCGCAAACTCTGCCGAAGTGGTAAACACTATCGGAGCATTTAACATTCACTTAATCCATCATATAATAAAAG